GATAAAACTCCGACTGTGCTGGGCCCCCGACTGCTCTGAACCCCAGTTTTAGGCCAGACCCCGGGGACTCAGGCTCAGCCATAGGGAGCTGGGCTGTAAGGCGGAACCCCGGGGAGAGGCGAAAGGAGGTCCCGGAGGCACTGTGCGCAGAGAAGGGACGGTCGGCTGTGCCGCGGGATTGCCCTGACGGGAAGGAGACTGGGGCTCCAGACTGCTCCGAACGCCACCTCCAACTCCACTTCCAACTGAACTGAACCCCAATACCGGGCTCATTGGGGGGAGCATAGACTGTTTGGCAGCAGGCGAAAATCGAGGGCACCTTTCTCTCAGAGGCGCTGGCAGCGAGCACAGAAGGACCCGCATAGGGCGGGGCTGACGGAAGCCAAAGCTGCAGGCTCCACCCTGAAACCCCATCCCATCTGTAACTGCGAAATGCGACAACAAAATAGATCACAAACGAAAGAAATGGAGGACAAAAAGCGTCTGGATATAGAGTTCAAATCTATGCTTATAAGGTTTTTCAAGAATTTCCTAGAAAAGATGGATAAGACCTATGAGGACATGAAAAGAGATCAACTAGAATTAATAAGGAGTCAACAAGAAATAAAGAATATATTGTCTGAAATAAAAAATATTTTACAGAGTCCTAAAAACAGAAGGGAAGATCACAAGAATCAAGTCAAAGATTTGGAACATAAAGAGCCAGAAGACACTCCTCCACAGAAGCTAGAAGGCAAGAGAATCCAGAAAATTGAAGATAATGTAAGAAACCTCTGGGACAACTTCAAGCGAACCAACATCAGAATTATGGGGGTCCCAGAAGATGAGAGAGAGCAAGATATCGAAAACATACTGAAAGAAATAGTGACAGAAAACTTCCCCCACCTGGTCAAAGAATTAGACTTGCAAGTCCAGGAAGTGCACAGAACTCCAAACAAAAGGAATCCAAAGAGGACCACACCGAGACACATCATTATTAAAATTCCAAGAGCAAAAGACAAAGAGAGAATATTAAAAGAAGCAAGAGCAAAGAAGGTAGTAACCTATAAAGGAGCACCTATACGGTTGTCAGCTGATTTCTCAACAGAAACCATGCAGGCCAGAAGGGAATGGCAAGAAATATTCAAGGTGATGAATAGCAAGAACCTACAGCCAAAAATAATCTACCCTGCAAAGCTATCACTCAGAATCGAAGGCCAGATAAAAAGCTTCACTAATAAAGGAAAGCTGGGGGAGTTCATCACCACCAAACCAGAATTATATGAATTGCTGAGGGGGGTTCTTTCGGAAGAGAAAGTAAACAAAGATGAAAATTGTGAACAACAAATACGTAACTATCAACAATCTAAAAAACAAGGAGATTTAAGGAATCTGATGAACAATGTTAACTGTTGAATATAATAGAGTCAGAGGTATGGAAGGGGAGTGAACTGACAATTCTTGGGGAAGAGGGGAGAGGGGGGCGTGGGAAGAGACTGAGCATAGACTGTGCACCTATGGATGGGGACAGTGGGGAGGGGGGAGGGGGCAGGGGGTGGGGTGGGAACCTGGTGGAGGAGAGCAATGGTGGGGGGGGGGGAAGGAAAGGAGCATTTGTAATAATATGAACAATAAAAACTTATTAAAAAAATATATAAAAATAAAAATAAAATATATTAATTTATTGCACTAGTCAGTTTGGTTCAGTGGATAGTGTTGGCCTGTGGATTGAAGGGTCCCAGGTTAGATTTTGGTCAAGGGCACATCTGCAGATTGGTGGCCTGGGCCTCCTCTGCAGGACAATCATGTGATTGATCATGCCCAGAGAGAGGCCCTGCCCACCTGACACAGTCTGATGGTCAGTGGCCTGGGCCTCCCTTGCAGGGTGATGACGGGGCGATGGCTGGGCCCCCACCAATTGCATCGCACTCACCTTGGCTGGCCTGGTGCTAGTGGCTGTTATAGATTTTTTTTTTTTTTAAATATATTTTATTGATTTTTTACCGAGAGGAAGAGAGAAAATCATTGACCAGCTGCCTCTTGCACACCCCCTACTGGGGATGCGCCCGCAACCAAGATACATGCCCTTGACCAGAATCGAACCCAGAACCTTTCAGTCCGCAGGCCGATGCTCTATCCACTAAGCCAAACCGGTTTTGGCTAGTTTGGTTTTCTTGAAGGTCATTCTGCTGTTTGGCCATTTGGTCAATTTGCATTTTACACTTTTATTATTCTAGATACAAAAGCTCAGCGACTGTTATGGCAGAACAACCAGTTGTTATGACATGCTCTGACCACCAGGGGGCAGATGCTCAATGCAGAAGCTGGGCTGATGGCTAACACAGCTGCAACACTTGATCTTCTCCCACCTCCGGCAGGTGCAATCTTCGGCAAACATACTGCAATCCCTACACCAGGTGGTGGTGGTATGGCAGGAATGACCACAGATCAGCAGCTCAGGCTCCTAGAACTCTCCCTTTGGACCCTACAGTGCACTGCACCCCTTACCTACTGCCCTCTGAGTCTCCATATGCAGGCTCGGGGGAAACCCACAGAGGTGCTTCACACACAGTGCTGGGGCTGGCCTCTGTCTGCAGAGCGAATGCCGGTGAAGTCCAGCCCCGTGACTGATACCCACATGTGTCTACGGTTGAGCCCTTCCCAACTTCCACCTACCACCTGGCTCTGGCCCCATCTGGAAAGGTCGGCGTCCTAGCACTGGACCCTGCAGAGCGCTGGCCAGCTCCAGTGGATTGAGGGCACCAGCAGGTGCTGGCCTGACCTTTTCGGTTCAGGCAGCTCCACACTTGGGCTGGGTGTTGCGTGAAAAATCACCCCTCTACACCCTCCAGGTACAATCTGCCACGAACAAAAGCAGCATGGAACATTCATGCATGATCAGACTACCTTTACACCAGCCCCCTGGAACTCTCCCTCGGGCAGCAGGGCCATCTTCCTCCCCTTAGCTATTGCTGTGTTCCTTTGGATGCGGAACTGAAATGCAAAGAACTCATCTTACCCAGGATATGATTGGCTTCTCCCTCCTTCCTTCCTACCACTCCCAGCTGCCACTTCCAAGCTGGACCGGTCCCCACTTCCGGAGAGAGTCCCAGAAAAAGTGAGAAAATCCCAATCCTATGTGCAGGTCTCCCATGTGTGTCTGTGGCTGAGCCATCGTGCTGTTCCCAGGCCTGGCCAGCATCCAGGCTCCCACATTCCCCCCACGGTGCTGTGTGCTGATAGCTGGTGTCAAGGATGCCCACAGCTCAGCCAGTACTTGCCACGAGGCACATTCCTATAGGCCTACAGGTACACTCATCAGGGAACAGATGCAGTGTGAATACTCATAGAAACTAGGATGAGCCTGATACTGCTGCTGGGCTCCTGGAATTCTGCCTCAGGCAACGAGATCAAATTTCTTCCCTTACCAATTGCGCTGAGCTACAGAGGAAGGCAGCAATATAAAAGTGGCCACAAGGTGGCGACTGACCATTGGGGTAAAAGTTAGAGAGATGGATCTGAAGAGTGGGGACGTGGGCAAGAGAGCACCCTGCTTTCCAAGATTCCCAACTTTGTACAGTTCACCTTGGAGTGTCTCCAAGCAGCGGAAAGCATCCAGCACAGCCCAAGGTGTCTACTGGGGACCTCCTGGCCAGCAAGGCAGGACCCTAGCTACAGAAGAGACATTTGGAAATATTTTTTTTCAGGGAGGAGACTCCCCACACAACTTACTGGTGGCTCATGGGGATGGGGAAGCTCCTCAGCACGTGGGCCCAAGTTTCTGATTTCCTTTCAATATGCACAAATCCATCCACCCGGCCACTAGTATATACAGGTTTTTCTATATGCACTGTAAACCTACTTTTGCCCCACCCTGTACCTTGTGCCTTCCCTTTCACTCAATTCACTTCTATCTGGTTTCTAACCCATCATGTCTCTGAAACAGATTTCTCCAAAATTACTAAATGACTTCCTTGTTGCAAAATCTAGTGGACTTATTTTAGTGGCATCTTACCTGATATTATGTTTAACCCTTTGACCAGCTTCCTTGATACTTCAGTCCTGGTTTCCTTTTTTCTCGTCCTTGCCCATTCTCAGGATGCTCTTTTTGGCTTCCTTATCTCATGGCTTCAGCAACCATCTTGATTCACACACACACCCATCCAATCTTTCTGCTGTGTTCCAGGCCCACATAATCTCATATCCCATTGTCTAATAGATATCCCACAGGTACCTAAAACTCCTTCTCTCCTCCAAAATAACAAATGGCATAATTTTTTCTAAATGTCCAAGTCAGAACATTGGACAATATCTTTAGTCCTCCCTCTGCCGCAGAGCCATTTCCCATCTTTTTTCCCATCTGCCTGTTCCCTTCCTGGATACACAACAGCTTCCAAAAGTCCCCGCGGCCCATTGTCCCATTGCACTAGTATGTCTCTGAAATGCTAATGGCCCTGCTTACACCTCTGCTCGCACTCTTCAAAGCCTATCCTGTGCTCCGAGGATGAAATCAAACAATTTTCAAGGCCTTTGTAAGTCGGGCCCCAATCTCACAGACCACCGCAGGCCGACCAGGCCACCTCCTCCTTCCCAACCATCCAGGGCTCGGCTCGGGCGACACTTCCTTCGGGAGCAGGTGCTCAAAAAGGCAAACGTTCACAAAGAACTCTGAGCGAACCTGAGCAGCGCTCGGGGCAGCGGGCCCAGGTTCCCCCAACGTCCGGGTTAACAGGAAGCTCAGAGCAAAGGTCAAGTCCAGGTCGTGACCCTTCCTCCGCGAGCGACAACCGCCTCCTATTCCGCCTTAATGCGTCACGGCCGCCGGCCAGCCAGCCTCCTGGCGGGCCTCGGAGCCGACCCCTCCGGGGCGCCCGCACGCCGGAGCGCGCCCCCTCCCGCGGCAGCCCCGGGGCCGCAGGAACCGCCGCGGCCCGGCTGCCCCAAAGCAAGATGGCCGCCCGCCCCGCGCCCCGCGCCGTGAAGCCGCGCCGCCCGCGGAGGCCGCGCCAGGCTGCCCTCACCTGGCATGGCCACTCAGCTCGCGCCCAACCGCGGGCCTGACGCCGCCGCGAGCCGGCCCGCAGCCGGCCAGGTTCCGGAGGCGCCGCTCCGGACGCAGCCTCTCCCCAGCCCCGCCCGCCGCGCCGCTCCGCTCCCCTCCCCCGGTCCCACGCCCGCGGCGGCGGCAGGAGCCCGGATGCGGCGCCGGGAGACGGCGCGGGGAGCGGCGCGGATGGATCCAACATGGCGGCGCCGAGCCTGAGTCTGGGGTGAGGCGGCGGGCGGCGGGATGGGGAGGGGGCTCCGGCTGGCCGGGCGGGGCCGGGCGGGGCCGCGGAGGGCCGGGAAGGGAAGTGGGGAGGCGGGGGCGACGCCGGCCCGGCCGGACGGGACCCGCGGCCAGGTGGGGGAGGGGCGCGGCCGAGGGGCGTGCGGGGGGCGGCGGGCGGGGGCGAGGCGCCCGCGGGGCGGGGGGCCGGGCGGGCGGGGTGTGGTCCCGCCGGCCGCGGGGTGGGGGCGGCGGGGGCCGCGGGGGCAGGAGGGCGGGATTCGGGGCGGTGTGAGACGTGGGGCGGGGGTCGGGCCGGGACGTTCGGAGGGCTGGGCAGGGTTAGATTGGAGGGCGGGGGCCCCGAGTTTATTGGGGCGGACCGGCGGGAATGGAGGTGTGGGGACTGGAGGGCCTGTCGCAGGGCCGAGGTAACCAGGAAAGTTTGGGCGGGCGGCGGGCGGGGCGGCGGGCTGCGTGGAGCGGAGGTCGGGGCTGCCCGTGCGGAGGGGCGGCCGAGCCGGGCGCACCAGTCGCGGCAGCTCGGGGGCCGGGCCTGCAGCCTGCGGCGCTCAGGTGCCGGGAGCCTGGAGTTGGCGGAGGGTGCGCCGGGCTTAGTCTCAAAGTTCCCGGCTCACTTTCTCCGCGTGCCCGGGCGGACACGAAGGGAGACGGGAGCGGTGGGCGTCGGAGCTCTGTTGGCGGCGCGAGGGGAGGGACCGGCGTGCCTGGGAGCCTGGTGCCGAGCTGCGGCCCGGGGTCTGAGGCAGGGGACAGAACCCAGGATGGCGTCTGGAAACCAGGCTTCTTCAGTGACTGCTGAAGCTTCCAGACCTTCCGTGTGCTGTCTGGGTGCTGGGAGGGAGGATCAGTATTTAGAGAGAAATGTCCCTGGTGAGGTGCTGGCGTCTGAGTGGGCGCTGCCAAGTGGTGCTGCCCGGTGGGTGCTTTGCTGTGTGCGGGGGCCTGGGAGAGCCGGGAGGTCGTTCTGGGCTGATGAGGGACGTGATGGATGCGAAGTGCCTCTGGCTGTAGGACTCTCCCCGTTCTCGCTACAGATGGAAGCTAACGTTAATATTGTATCACAATTAGGTGAGCCTCATGGGACTGGGGGATTCAGGTGAGAATGTGTCAAAGGATAATTGGCTTTCCTACAAGTTGTTGAACTTGGGACCTTTCTTGGCATGAGCCATTGAGTCTGGAAGTGTTTGGAGTTCTTTTGTATGTGAATTGGCTGTTGGAGAGGTAGTGAAGCTTGGTGACTTTGTTAGGTGAGTTTTCTTATTTAGCTTGGAGGGGGTCATTTCCACCAAAATGGCTGTAGGTATTTTTACAACTAACGCCTTGAGTCTTTGAGGTTTCAAAATAAAGTTTGAAAATTGACTCTCTCCCCCATATTTGTTTTTGTTTTGTTGCTGGCTTTGACCTTCTGCTAGGGAGACCCCTGGGAAACGAAGTCTCGGACAGAGGTAAGCCTGGCTTTTTACTGCGTTCAGACGTTGGAAGGGAATGGAGATGGCATGAGAACTGCATCGCTGGTGGGGTCGAGGACAGGTAAAATGATTCTCCCCTCCCACACCGAGTGATATGGTCTGTTTTGGTAACTGGATATAAATAGGAGAGAAAGGAGAAATTAGGTGTGTTGGAGCAAGCCCCCAGCTTTGTTTTTATCTAGCCTTCTGGTTAGCTCAGGAGAAACTTTTTAATCATGTGGAACAGTGCACTAAGCACCACGTCTGCTAAATGGTGCCCTCGGAAGGTTGCTGAGGCACCTTCTGTGCTCACTCTTCCTCTAGTTGTGCAGGACATCATTTTTTAGTTTTTCACATAACTGCTTCCTGTGGGCTTCTGAGAGAGTCACATACCTTCAGTTTTGTGACAATACAGTTGTTATCCTTTGTTGGGATGAGGCTTGACTTTGCTTGGAAAGAAACCTCATAGAGAACCACCAGTCAAGAGGGAATCCAGGGGGTCCTTGGCTGGCTTGGACCTCCCTAAGGAGAACAAACTACAACTCTAAGAAATGCAGCAATTCCTTATAAGAACCAAGTATTACTTTGGGGAAACTATAGGGGGGACTCATATGTTAGGATCTCAAATGTGGTATCTAGTGTTATTTCAGGCACCAAGACTCGGGAGTTCCTGCTCACCTTCTGTTCTCCTCACTCCGGTGTCTTCACCTAGGTTCTCTGTAACTTACCGAGTGCCCTTGCTTCATTGCCACAGAAGGCTGAGTGTGTTTTGGATTAAGAGGAAGTTGGCCATGATCTTTTAATGCTGAAGTTAGATAGATTCTTGGAACTCCTGTTAGATTGCTGAGTGAGGGAACTTACCATTCTAGAGCAGTGGTCGGCAAAGTCATTAATCAACAGAGCCAAATATCTACAGTACAACGATTGAAATTTCTTTTGAGAGCTAAATTTTTTAAACTTAAACTTCTAACACCACTTCTTCAAAATAGACTCACCCAGGCCATGGTATTTTGTGGAAGAGCCACACTCAAGGGGTCAAAGAGCCGCATGTGGCTCCTAGCCGCAGTTTGCCAACGGTCCTAACTGATCATTAAGTGGGGGGAGCTGCCTGTTACCCAGCCTCCTGACATTTCTCCCAAGGACATGGCCATGGGAAACTTAGGCCTCATCTCCATTTTGCTTCATTAAATGAGTCTGACCAGCAGCCTTTTAGGACTTTAAGGATAGCTGTGGGGGGTAAGTGCGGGGGGGGGGGGGGGGGGTCGTCTTTTGTGTCTGTCTTGCACAGGATGGAATTTCTCTTATCTTCACAGAGGTCTGGATTGAACTAGGTCAAAAAGAGACCTCTCAGATGGGGCAGAGGGAGTACAACCCTCCCACCTGCTGTTCACCTGAATGGCAACAGCAGGTGGTAGAGATCGAGGCGGAGTGAGATAGAACTCTGAGTGCCAGTGGACTTAGGAATTAAGAGTCTGCCGGCCTGGCTTTCCTTTTCTTCTGGAATACTGTTTAATGGGTTTGGGTCAGAGGGACCAGTGGCTTTCTTCTCCAGATCTAGGGTGGGAAGTGACCTGCTGTTATCACGCTCCCTATAGGGCAGGGTCTCATTCCCAGCACTGTTGACATTTTGGGCCAGATAATTCTTGGTAATGGGGGACTCTCCTGTGCACTGTAGTTGCTTAACGGCATCCATGACCCTCTATTCACTCCTTGCCAGTAACACTCCCTTATTCCACCATATGACAATCTAAAATGTCTCCAAATATTTCTAAATTCCCCCCGGCGCGGGGGAATCGCCCCCGATTTAGAACCACTGACTTTGAAACTGATAATTTTAGAGACCTTAAATGATGTTGGAATGTAGAACTGAAAAGTGGCTATTTCCCCTCAAATGTAAGGAGCTAACCCTCAGATCACTGAGGTCTATTACAGAATTGTGTCCATTGATGAATAATTAGGACCACAGCGCTTTCCTATATTCTGCCTAATACGTATTCCAGTAGCCTGTTATGTGGGACAGTATTTCTTCATTTCCTAAGGTTTAAGACAGGACACTGAGTTAGGGAGCTCTGGAGCAACCTGGCCTTTTGATTGGTTGAATGTGAAACCTGTCCACCTGCTTTTCTGGGCTCATCATGGTCAGCAGGTGGGATACAGAACAAAGTTGTAGGGGTTTTGAGGCGGCTTGGCTTTTCCATGTTGCCTGGTATAAGCAAGAAGATGTTTTCATTCTGTCTCCTCCTGTACCTAGAGACTGCATCAGGTAAAACAAGAGAGGAAGAGACACGGGAATGTGGTCTGTAGGTGAATAGCTGTTTTCCCAGCTGTTTCCCATGCTTCAGGTGGGGTATCTTAAGTGGATATGGGCTGTATTTCCTGTCCACATATCAGAACCCAAGGTTTGGGGCTAAGTGATTTCAGCATTGACTTCCCTTTTCTTATGTGGGTGATTCTCTGTGCTTCTAGTTTAGGATTACTGAGGCAGAGAGATCCAGGTTCTGCTTGCTCTTTAGTTTTCTGAGAACTCATCAGTTTGGCTGTTCTGAAGCAGTTTATTTTTTATTTTTTTAAATATATTTTATTGATTTTTTTACAGAGAGGAAGAGAGAGGGATAGAGAGTTAGAAACATCGATGAGAGAGAATCATCGATCAGCTGCCTCTTGCACACCCCCCACTGGGGATGTGCCCGCAACCAAGGTACATGCCCTTGACCGGAATTGAACCCAGGACCTTTCAGTCTGCCGGCTGACACTCTATCCATTGAGCCAAACCGGTTTCGGCAAGAAGCAGTTTATTTTTTAATGCTAAAGGCCTGATGCACGAAATTCATGCAAGAGTAGGCCCCTCCCTCCCCGCCCAGTTGCCAGCACCAACTTTCTTCTGGCACTGGAGACCTGGCTTTGTCTGGAAGATCATTTGGAGGGACGCCTGCTCTATTTAGCATATTATGCTTTTACTATATATATATATATATATATATATATATATATATATATATATATATACATACACATACATACACACACACACACATACACACACACACAAACACACACATATACAAACACACATACATATACACACAAACACATACATATACACACGAACACATACATATACACACATACATGCATATACACACACAAACACACACACACACACACACACACCTTGTTTCCCCGAAAATAAGACAGTGTCTTATATTAATTTTTTCTCCCAAAGTTGCACTAGGTCTTATTTTCAGGGGATGTCTTATCTTTCCATGTGCTAGGTCTTATTTTCAGAGGATGTCTTATTTTCGGGGAAACTCGGTGTGTGTGTGTGTGTGTGTGTATATCTCTTAAAATTTTTTATTTATTTTGGAGAGGAAGAGATAGAAACATCTATGATGAAAAAGAAACATTGATCGCTGCCTCCTGCATGCCTTCTACTGGGGATTGAGACCACAACCTCGACATGTGCCCTTGACTGGAATTGAACCTGGAATTGGTCTGCAGGCCAACGCTTTATCCACTGAGCCACACCAGCTAGGACTTACTCAGTTTCTTAACCTAGACTATGTTTCTTGCTCTATGGTAGGGGTGTCGAACTCAATCAGAGAAGGGGCCAAAATCTAAAATCCAGCCTAAATCGCGGGCCGAATGGTTTACTGAACAGTCATAAACTGTCATTGTGATGGAAACGCAGCGGAGTGCAGTGATGACAGCGCGGTGCGGGCCACATTGCAAGGCCTGGCGGGACGGATTTGGCCCGCGGGCCTTGTGTTTGACACATGTGCTCTATGGAATGGACAGACCCACTTATCTTGCTGGCCAGCGGGTGCTGTGGAGTGGGTAGTTCTCAGTGTGGGAAGGCTATAGCTGCTAGCTAGAATACACGCATGGTAACTGACTTGCATATCTATTTTTAATGAGGTCTTCTCCCTCTTGGACTTATTTGAGTTTGTTTCTTAATGGGTATTGCTTGTGATGATCTCTTGGAGATGAAGTTTAATCTGTGTGCCAGACTCTATCCATTGCTAGGTATTGGAGATATAAAGATGAATATAACTTAGTCCCTCTACATGAGTTGCTGAAGATCTAATGCTATATACCGTATTTTCCGGCATATAAGATGACACTGTGTTCTAGTAAAAAGCCGCCTCAGATTGGCCAGAGTCAGAGAGGCGGTCTATTTAAAAAAAGAACTGGTATTGCCTTGAAAGTGGGGGATAGTCTTATACAGTGAATATAGGCCTAAACCTATGTTTTAACTGTAAAATTAGGGGGTCGTCTTATACGCCGGAAAAGGAAAAGACTGTGATAAAAGCCTAATATGCAAATCAACAGAATGGAGGAAAAATCAGTCGCTATGATGCTCACTGACCACCAGGGGGCAGACAACGCTGGTGCTGCCCACAGGCCTCAGGCCAGCCAAGGCGGGTGCCAGCACGCCCCCCTCTCACCCTCTTTCCACCAATTGCCCCACTGATCACCCCACAAATTGGCCCTGATTGCTGGTTAGGCCTAGGGACCCTACCCATTCATGAATTTTGTGTACAGGGCCTCTGGTGGGATAGTAAGTGCACAGATAATCCTAGTACACTCTGATAAATGGCTTACAGGAACATGCAGTGTTCCAGGGAGCACAGAAGAGGACTATCCCAGCATGAGGTGTAGGGACTAAATTTAAAGATGGCATCTGAGCTGACTTTTTTCTTTTGAGTTGACTCTTAAAGGGTGAGTAGGAGTTAGCCATCTGAGAAAGGTCTGTGACAGGGGAGTGGAACAGGAAGGAAGGTACAGAGAAGAGAAGTATATGTATGTAAACTATAAACAAAGTAATATTGTTAGAGAATGAAAAGTGAATTCTGCGGCCTGGTCAGTGTGGCTTAGTGGTTGAGCTTCTATAGCACATGCCTGGGTTTTGGGCTAGATTTCCAATAAGGGGTGTGCAGGAGGCAGCCAATCAATGATTTCTCTCATTACTGATGTTTCTGTCTGTCTCTCCCTCTCCATTCCTCAATTCATGAATGGGTAGGGTCCCTAGGCCTAACCAGCAATCAGGGCCAATTTGTGGGGTGATCAGTAAAAATATATTTAAAATAAGAGAGGCTGTTGCAGGAGTCCATGTGAGAGGTTATTGGGGCCTGAACCAGGGCAGTGCAAGTGGAAAGGTTAGGCAGATTTAAGACATACTTAGAAGTAGCATCAACAGCCGAAACCGGTTTGGCTCAGTGGATAGAGCGTCGGTCTGCGGACTGAAAGGTCCCGGGTTCAATTCCGGTCAAGGGCATATACCTTGGTTGCGGGCACATCCCCGGTAGGGGGTGTGCAGGAGGCGGCTGGTCGATGTTTCTCATTGACATTTCTAGCGCGCTCTCTCTCTCCCCTCCTCTCTGTAAAAAATCAATAAAATATATTTTTAAAAAAAAAAGAAGAAGAAGTAGCATCGACAGGAGTGCATAATGATGGGGTAGTTGGAGGTTTTGGTCAGAGGGGGTAATGAGTATGAGCAACTAGAGTGGAGGTGAACGCTGTTTGACCTGAAGACTGGTTGTTGGCTGAGTCCTTGACATTACCCAGGATGATGGAGGAACTTTCTGAGTCAAATGCCAAACTAAAGAAAGAGTAGGGCTGTCACTGGTCATTCACAGGGGGTTGGTAAATGACAGCCAGGTTGGAAGACAGCATATCAAAATGGCGTCTGAACATCAAGGGGGCACAGGTAGAATAGGAGAATTACAAGAGTGCTCAACATAGGAGCTTAATAATGTTTCCGGGTTTAAGTCCATGAATTTTACTGAATATTATTCATTAACCTTTCAAGCAGTTATACTTCTGGGCTTGGTTGGATTATAGGAAACCTACAGATACATTTATGGAAGGATGAGTCTGGGCTAGGATGCTTATTTCTTTTCTTTTTTAAAATATATTTTTATTGATTTCAGAGAGGAAGAGAGAGCAAGATACATACATCAATGAGGAGAGAGAATCATGGATCAGCTGCCTCCTGTATGCCCCACACCAGGGATTGAGCCTGTATCCCCAGGCATGTGCCTTGGCCAGGAATCGAACTGTGACCTCCTAGTTCATAGGTCTACATTCCAACACTGAGCTATGGAGGGGCGAGGATGCTTATTTCTTTGAATCTCTTTCACAACGATTTACCAAGTTATTTCAGTTGTATTATCTCATTGGATTCTTAACGAGTCTGAGTAGTAGGAAGAATTGGAAATAGTTCTCACCCTAAAGATTTTCAGTTTCTTACTGTTCCTAAGTTCATCTGCTACAGTTTCCTTATTAAAGAGTGAATTCTCTACTTCTGCTCAATTTTGAAATGAACTGATTAGGGGGGAGCACAAAGAACCAAGAGTAGTATTTTGGAGGCGGGGTGGGGGAGTGGGATCAACAATTAGGGTGATAGCTAATAGCTACTCCTGCTGGGTAACACCAAGATGGCATAGAATATTCTCACCCAGGCGAAGTGACTCTAGTTCTCCAATAGAATCTTGGACTTAGGGCACCATCTGTTGTATGTGGAGCTCTAGGCTTTATCTATAATAACAAAAGCATAATGTGCTAATTAGACCTTTGGATGTCCTTCTCGACAAAGCTGCGATGGCTGTGGGAAGGCAGCCGGGAGGCTGCAGAAGGGAGCGGGCCTAAGCCTGCAGAAGTACATCCCAAGGGCTCCTGGACTGTGAGAGGGCAGGCCGGGCTGAGGGACGACCCCCCACCCATGTTTGAATTTTCGTGCACTGGGTGTCTAGTTTTTAAATAAACCTTTACTAAGCACTACACTGCCAGGCATTGTTAGCACTGGGAATGTAGGAATGAATAGGACCAGTTTTTGCCACTGATGGGCTCACAGGGTCTTTTGTGTCCTTATAGTGTAGTGGCGATCGCAGCTGCCAAGCAGGGATTCTGGGAAGCATTGCGCACCTGAGCCCCCAGCATGGCGGGGCTGAAGCGACGGGCAAGCCAGGTGTGGCCGGAAGAGCACAGCGAGCAGGAGCATGGGCTGTACAGCCTGCACCGCATGTTTGACATCGTGGGCACCCACCTGACACACAGAGATGTGCGCGTTCTTTCCTTCCTCTTTGTCGATGTCATTGATGACCATGAGCGTGGCCTCATCCGAAATGGATGTGACTTCTTATTGGCGCTTGAGCGCCAGGGCCGCTGTGATGAGACGAACTTCCGCCAAGTGCTGCAGCTGCTGCGCATCATTACTCGCCACGACCTGCTGCCCTACGTCACCCTCAAGAGGAGGCGGGCTGGTGAGGGCCCGGGGCTAGGGACTTAGGTGTTGGGCTGGAGGCCCAGCGGGAGGCGGCACTGGCTCTGGGGGTGCCCAGGACTGTTATGAGGCCTGTTGGAGGGTTGGATCAGGAGAAGGAAGGAGTACATCTTCCCAATGACCCCCTCTCCCCCTACAGTGTGCCCTGACCTTGTAGACAAGTATCTGGAGGAGACATCGATTCGCTATGTGACCCCCAGAGCCCTCAGTGATCCAGAACCAAGGCCTCCCCAGCCCCCTAAAACAGGTGAGTGGGTATTAAATCCCCTAGTGTCCCTTCTCAAGAGGACACCAAACCCCTCATGGCCACACCTTAATGAAAGGACCCTGCCCTCCTCCATAAACATAAAAATGAGGTGAGGCAGCCCTGGCTGGTGTGGCTTAGTGGATAGAACGTTGGCTTGCGGACTGAAGGGTCCTGGGTTTGATTCCAGCCAAGGGTTGGTTTATGGGCTACTTTTTTAAAAATGAGGTGAGGCATTGTCGTGTCCCCTGGGTCCTGTGATTGTTGCCACATGTCCTTGTAGGTCACATTGTGGATACTGCGTTTCCTGCTAAGTCTGTATGATTCTTTCCCACAGAAGTGTCTGAGCATTTACCCTACTGTCTCCTCCCCTTTTTCCTGGTCAGTGCCTCCTCACTATCCTGTGGTATGCTGCCCCACTTCAGGCCCTCAGATGTGTAGCAAGAGGCCAGCTCGAGGGAGAGCCACACTTGGGAGCCAGCGAAAACGCCGAAAGTCAGTGACACCAGATCCTAAGGAAAAGCAGACGTGTGGTGAGAAGTTCAAGGGTCCCAGAGGGACACTCAGCAGCGCCATGCTCCCATTGGTGCTGTTGCAGAGTGAGGTTTGAGTGGTGGCCCTGGGGGGTTGAGAATTCCTGTCTTGGTGGCAGAGCACTTGTCAACTCTTTGTAGTTAACACCAGATCAGAGGGACGGGTCATGACCTCTGTGCTGCAGGAGGAACCACACCCTGGTATCATGAGAATGACTGCCTACTAAGCAGGAAAAGACGTCCCAGAAACAAGGTGCTCCTGAGGGGTGGGATGCTGTGACCTGGGCATGGCCTGGGTAAGGGAGCCCCCTGCATCAGGGCGCTCAGGAGCCTGGAGAAGAGCGGGGGCACCTGTCAGGTGATGTTCCCACTTTGCTCCTCTGCTGCTGTTTTCATCTTTCTCATAAACTCATCCTCACAGCACCTCTCTTCCCTGCAGACATCAGGCTGCGGGTCCGGGCTGAGTACTGCCAGCACGAGACTGCTCTGCAGGGCAACGTCTTCTCCAACAAGCAGGACCCACTGGAGCGCCAGTTTGAGCGCTTTAACCAGGCCAACACCATCCTCAAGTCCCGGGACCTGGGCTCCATCATCTGTGACATCAAGTTCTCTGAGCTCACCTACCTCGACGCATTCTGGCGCGACTACATCAACGGCTCGCTCCTGGAGGCACTGAAAGGCGTCTTCATCACAGACTCCCTTAAGCAGGCTGTGGGCCACGAAGCCATCAAGCTGCTGGTGAACGTGGACGAGGAGGACTACGAGCTGGGCCGACAGAAACTCCTGAGGAACTTGATGCTGCAGGCCTTGCCCTGACCTTCCCTCCGGGGACTGGGCCCATCACTCACCTCTGGAGCGTACATACTGTCCTGGGGTTTTTTTTTCTCTCCCCTTCCAACCAATCACACCCCTGCCTTTTTTTTTTTTTTTTTTTTTTTAAGGAAAAGACAAAGGAAAATGGAAGTGGTGTCTCCCACCCCTCCCTACACCCATGTGCCTGGGCTTCCCCGTTTCCCTTTCCACTCACCCCCCCATGTGTCTGCAGCCACCTTTACTACTGAGCCGTGAGACAGGTGTGTAGGGAGAAGCAGTCTGTAGGACAGTCTGAGGGACTGAGGGAACACTGCGTCCGGGTGCGTTGAGGGGCTGTCAGTGCTTCTGGCTTTATGGGGCTCTTACATTTTGTCTGAAAAACCAAAGGGCTGTGAGTAAGGGAGCTGTGTTGTGTGGAAGGTGAGACTCTGAAGTGTATTTTGGAAATTAATCATCACCCTCTCCCAAATTATAGACTTTTTAAAAAAGAAACTGTGGCCCTTTCAACTCTCTTCTCCTGTCCTCTGGTGCTGCTCCTCTGCCTGGTTTCTTCCATTTCATTGCTGAAACCTGCGTGGTATGGCTCCTCTCCCCTCCCCCCCCCCCCCCCCCACCCCCGCCCCCACCCCTGCCCCCCCCGGGGGGGTATCTGTCCCTCTTCAAGGGAAACTAGGAGAGGACTAGGTCAGTCCCATCAGCCCTCCCAGCTGTGGTGTGTGCACAGCACGGGGGGGGTGTGGTGGGGAGGGGGGGAGACACTTCCTTCCATGTGTGCTAGTGAGTGAACATAAGATGCCCCGAGCCCTTCCCCTTTGCTTGATGCTGGCTTGGGCAAAGGGCATTACAGGTCCTTCCCTGTCCTCCACCCCTCCCTCGGAGCACGGGGCTGGGACATGCACTGAGTGTTGCACTTTTATCTGGGTAGGAGCTTGTTGAATGAGCCAGGAGGCTTAGAACCGGAGCCGAGTCCAGCTGGACCAGGAAAGGGAGGGGTCCATCTGTGAAGGGAAGCACCGCAGGTGGAATCCGCCGCAACCAGTCACCACCTCCCCTTTCAGCTCCCAAAAGAGATGTCCAGACACACTTTATGATATTTTTCTCAATGCCAGTGCTGCTCAGCCCTCAGCATAACTTTAGTTTTCATGAAATAAACAGTATATGAAATTCCACATTTTTGAAACTGAAATCTGAGCTCAGGTGAGTTTCTTCTTTCCCAAGAAGCTAAGCATATATTCTTTCAACAGTCAAGGTTCCCCAAGGGAGGGGGAGGTGCACCTGGTCCTGCCTCAAAGTAACAGCAACACCAGCTCACAGTGGGTCTCAACTCAGAAGTCGGAAGTCCTAAGACAGTGGGTGACCGAGGTGGCCATAGAGGTCAGGCCTGCGGTGCTGGAACACAGGCAGATGTTGGCGCAGCTGTCGCAGGTAACTGAGGTCAATCCGGGCAAGGCAGAGGCCTGGTCCCTCCGAGCAGCGGGCCACCACTGTTCCCCAGGGGTCCACCACCATGCTGTGGCCATAACTCGCTCTCTGCTCGTGGTGGCGTCCACACTGGGCTGCAGCTACTACATAGCACTGGGTCTCAATGGCGCGGGCCCGCAGCAGCACCTGGGGGGAGAAGTGTGGCAGCTGGTGGGGAGCAGCAGGCCAGCCGACCACTGTGATCATTCTGAAATTGGCTAGAAATGACTTAGGATTAACTATTCCTTAACATAGAGTTAGGCAGTAATTTGGGGAATGAATTTTCTCACTGGGTGGGAAGGGGGAGAAAGTCTAACTGGCAGGGCCGAGGGAATGAGTGAAGTTAAAGGAAAACCTGCATGTTCTGAAGAGGTCCTCTTACCTCCCAGTGGGCTGGGCCTGTTACGCTTCCAAAAGCCGAAGGATATGTAAGTATCTCTGCTCCAGCCTGAGCCAGTGCCAGAGAGAGTTCAGGGAACCGCATGTCGTAGCAGATAGCCAGACCGAGCTGGGATAAAAAGAGAGTCCCATCTCTGTTCCTGTCCCCTCCCTCCCTCATCCCTCCCCTCCCCCTCCACAGCTCCCACCTGGCCTGCTGGTGTGCTGACAGGTGACTCCAGACTGGGCCCAGGCATGGTAGAGTTACTTTCATGCATAGGCCCCTGCCCTGGAATCTCCACGTCACACAGATGCGTCTTCCTGTAAGTGGTCACTACGGACCCTAGGGTAAGCGGGAGAAGGAATATTGGTGCTGGTGCCCAAGAAGCCCACCTTAGGAGCACCCCTTGGCCAAGGAAACAGTTGGGAAGACCCAATTCTGGAGAATCTTTGTCTAGGTAGAAAAGCCTGGGAAGAGGCAAGCCAAAGAGCTGTGAAGTCTCACCCTTGCTGTTCAGAAGCACATGACAATTGTAGATTTTCTGAGTCTGCTCCCAGTTTTGGCCACGTTCGTGGAAACCACCCAAGGACAGCCAGAGTCCACATTCCCTGTGGGGAGTGGACTCTGGCACTCTTTCCAAGGCTCCACCCTCACATCTGGCAATCCAGAGACAATGCCCAGCAAAGCAGTGACACCCCGTCCCCCTCTCCTGATACCTGGCAAGCTGGGCATATTCTCCCAAAAGGTCCCCGCCCAGTGGCTCAGACAGGCGCAGCGTCTCTGCAGGGTCCCGGGCAATGAAGTCAAAAGCCTCAGGTAGGAAAGCCAGGCAAGCACCCAGTCTGGCAGCCTCTCGAACCAGGTCAGCACAAGCTTTAAAGTTCTGCTGCTTGTCTGGCGTTGATGTGACCTGGCACACAGCCACCAGGGGCAGTTCCCAGGAGGAAGAGGAGACAGCCATGGCCCTGGGCCTGTGAATGGTGCAGGCAGAACTCAGAGTTCCCAGCATGGGGAGACCCAAGTTCAAGGAGAAAGGGTTCCCTTTGCTTCTCTCACAGGCACCATGACCTACCCATCAAATGGCGGTGGGTGGTTGGCACCCCACTGTTCCACCGCCATTCATTTCACACACATTTATTGAGCACCTACTACTTGTCAGGCACAGAGGATACAAAACGTGTTACCTGGGCTGAGCACAAAGTACTGAGAGTCGCGGTACCCGCAGACCAGGGAACAGCAGGGACAGGAGGTGGTGAGGCCTGACCACGATGCCGAGCCTGAAGATGAGAAATGGCACAGCCCTTCCCTAAGGAGCACACTTCCAGGATTCCCTGCCTTCTCGTCACACTGTGAGGCTGAACGAGCGCCCTGCGGTGAGAGGCCCCAAGTCTTCGGAACACTCTAATTAGGGGCGACAGGGGAGAAAATGGAGGCAACCTCCACTTTCCGCAGCCTCGCCTTACACGAGGCCCTGTCCTCTGCCAGCGCTTCCGCAGCTCCAAGTCTCCTCCCAGAAACTTCCCGCTCCCCCTCTTTACCCGCACCGGACAATGAGGGGCTCCCACCCGACGCACCCCGCACCCTCTCCACTCAGCCGCCCTCCCGCCTCCCCAGGGCGGCGGCTCTGGAGCAAGGGCAGCGCCGCAGGTGGAAGTCGCCGCGGCCGGCGGCCGGGGAGCAGGTCCTACATGGAGGTTCCGCCAGAATCTCCCGCAGGATCCACACGGAGAGCGGCCTGGAGGCGGAGGCGCCTAGGCGAGTAGGCGGGACCCGCTGCCGGAAGTGACGCACGACGCTGCACTGCGCGCCGGAAGCCCCGCAGGCGGCGAAGATGGCGGAGAGCAGCGGTCGCCTGGGCAGAGGCAGCGGGAGCGGCACGGGGAAGGGGGCGGTGTCGGCCGATCAGGTGAGGAGCCCGCGGCCCAGAGGAGGCGCGAGCACCGGCCCGCGGCCGGCTCCCCCAGGCCCCGCGCGGGGGAGGGTCCTGGCGCCGCCGCGGGAGCCCCGAGGGCCGAGCGGGCGGTTGGGAGGTGAAAGCCACGCCCCCGGGGTGCTCCGAGCTGCGGGTCTGGGGTTTGCCCAGGTCGCACGGGGCCGGGCCCTCACTCCCACCTCTCCGCCCCGCGGGAGGGGGTGACTGGCTGGAGCGGGGCTGCCCCCCCAAAGGAGGTGACAGGCCGGCGCCGCGCAGCCACGCGACACACACGGAGCACTGGTGTTTCCTCGCATTTTGATTTGGGGTCACTGTTAGATTGAACTTCTTTAGAAACTAATCCGAGTTTGCATCCCCCCCCCCCCCCCAGTGCCTAACATGGGGAAACATTTTATAAATTAATCAGAAAGCCCTCTGTGGCTTGGACACCATGGTTCGCTAACCATGGCTAGTGTTTAACAGAGATGGGAAGAAATCTACATAAGAGAAAGGAGAACAACTAAACAATAGCTCTTTTAATTACGCATTTACCAGCTATTTGTTGGACAATTATTCAGGACTTTATAAATGTCCCTTGCCATCAAAGAGTGCAAGTCATAAGGTATACAAAACGGTAACATGAGGCAGAAGAGGTATCAAGTGCTAAAAGGTTTGAGGAGTGAGGAAGAGACAATGCATGCAGAGTGTTTTGCACAGTGACTGGAATCCAGTGTGTGCTTAATAAAGGCTAGTTACTTTGTTTTCTAGAAGAGAGAATCCTTCAGCTCAATTCTAAAAGATGAGAGAAGTTAGTCAAACAAAGAAGGAAGTGGAGGGTTTCTAGGTGGAGTGAGCAGTGTATTTAAAAGGACAAAGGCACATGGCTATAAGGAAAGATGAAATAGTGTCACAATAACATGAATGGACCTTGAGAACGTGATGTGAAGTGAAATAAGTCTAACAAAGCTAAGAACTATATGACTTAACTCATGTGGAATATACAGTAAAACTGAAACTCATGAACACAAACAACAGTGTGGTGACTGCCAGAGGAGTAGGGGGGGGAAGAGGTTCCAATATGAGGGGACAGAAGAAGATTTGACTTTGGGTGGCAGGCACATGGTCCCATATACAGGTTTTGTACATTAGTAATCCACACATGAAACCTGTATGTTCATGCTGACTAAGGTCACCCCAATTAAAAAAAAGAAGTACGAAGGCATGAGACTGCCTGACATGCTTGGGATGCAGATAGACTTAAATTTTGGAATGGACTACAAGACTTGGATGTAGAGGAAAAGGGATAAAAGTAATCTAGATGTTTCTGTCTTTGATGGATGCTGGTGCCATTGGGACTATAGGAAGATGGACAAGTCGATGGGGAGAAAGTTTATTTTAGAATTTTAGGTTTGAGCCGAAACCGGTTTGGCTCAGTGCATAGAGCATCGGCCTGTGGACTGAAAGGTCTCGGGTTCCATTCTGGTCAAGGGCGTGTACCTTGGCTGCGGGCACATCCCCAGCAAGAGGCAGCTGATCAATGTCTCTCTCTCATCGATGTTTCTAACTCTATCTCTCTTTCTCTCTGTAAAAAATCAATAAAATATATATTTTTTAAAAATTTAGGTTTGAGTTTCTTGAGAGACATCCAGGTAGAGACATTTAATAAGTGGTTAGATTTATAAATCTTGAGTTACAGAAAGAAATCTGAGTTGGAGCTATAAGAGAATTATGAGCTCATGGCTGGTAGACAAAGCCATGAAATCATCTGAGGTGTGCACAGAAAGTGAAAAAAGAAGCAAACAGTGGTGGAGAAAAAGAATCCCTTGAAAGAAACTGAGGGGTTGTGGTAACTGAATGTTTGACTGTTCTTGCTTAACACTCCCTGGGCTGTATGTTCCAGAGAGCACACCAGGTGAAAAAATAAGATCTGTCGTTGCTTCGACTTTAAGCCACATGTGTCCCTTACAAACATCTGGAAGCAAGCACTTATTCTGTCCTCTGTGAATCTCTGCCATTTGCAGTGAGCTGTGTTGTTCTTTTATGGGTAAGGACAATCCAGTTTCAGAAGCTTTTGTTAGCATACCCAAAGTCAGTGACTTGAAGAGCAGAACTTTTAGTTGAGGGACTTCAGAATCAGACAGATTTTAATTTATTCACTTATACCATGATCGTATCAGATATTTAGCTGACCCTGAGGACTGAATAGACTTGAAAGGGAAAACATAGATCTACAGGAAGTGCACAGGCTGTTAGTTTAATTAAATCATGAAGTATAAGAGAATCCAAGATGGCTGCACAGGTAAACACCTAGCCGCAGCCACACACAACAATTTCAATAAAATACAACTAAAATATAAAATGGACATTACCCAGAACTACAGGAAAGTCAACTGACTGGAAGTTCCTCAACGAGAAGCAAGGAGAAAACCAGAAGGAAGAGCGGAGGAGCTGTAAAAGCCTAAGGTACGGAGACACTCTGTGCGCGCAGAGAGGACGGAGCCGGAGAGGAGGGAGGCCAAGTGCCTGGCTGGCGTTCCCTAGCAGGAAGGAGATAAAAGCTCCAACTGTGCTGGGGCCCAGTTCCGACTGCTCTGAACACCAGTTCTAGGCCAGACCCCGGGGACTCAGGCTCATCCATAGGGAGCTGGGCTGTAAGGCGGAACCCTGGGGGAGCGGCGAAAGGAGATCCCGGAGGGACTGTCCCAGAGAAGGGACTGTTGGCTGTGCCGTGGGATTGCCCTGGCGGGAAGGAGACAGGGGCTCCAGACTGGCCCAACTGAACTGAACCCCAGTTCCGGGCTCATTGGGGGAGAGCCTAGACTGTTTGGTAGCAGGCGAAAATCGAGGGCCTTTCTCTCAGAGGTGCTTGCATCAAGTACTGAAGGACCCTGGGGAATTACTGAGACTCAGGAACTGCATAGGGCATAGCTGACGGAAACCAAGGCTCCACCCTGAAACCCCGCCCCATCAGGGAAGCTGCAAAAATGCCGAGACAATGAAATAGATCACAAATGAAAGAAATGGAGGACAAAAAGCAACTGGATATAGAGTTCAAATCTACGCTTATAAGGTTTTTCAAGAATTTCCTAGAAAAGATGGATAAGACCTATGAGGATATGAAAAGGGATCAACTAGAATTAATAAGGAATCAACAAGAAATGATAAGGGATCAACAAGAAATAAAGAATACATTGACTGAAATAAAAAATATTATACAGAGTCCTAAAAACAGAATGGAAGATTGCAAGAATGAAGTCAAAGAGTTGGAACATAAAGAGCCAGAAGACACTCTTCCGCAGAAGCTAGAAGGCAAGAGAATCCAGAAAATTGAAGATAATGTAAGAAACCTCTGGGACAACTTCAAGCAAACCAACATCAGAATTATGGGGGTCCCAGAAGATGAGAGAGAGCAAGATACTGAAAACCTATTTGAAGAAATAATGTCAGAAAACTTCCCCCAACTGGGGAAAGAATTAGACTTACAAGTCCAGGAAGCACACAGAACTCCAAACAAAAGGAATCCAAAGAGGACCACACCAAGACAAATCATAATTAAAATTCCAAGAGCAAAAGACAAGGAGAGAATATTAAAAGCAGCAAGAGCAAAGCAGGTAGTTACCTATAAAGGAGCACCCATAAGATTGTCAGCTGATTTCTCAACAGAAACCATGCAGGCCAGACGGGAAAGGCAAGAAATATTCAAGGTGATGAATAGTGAGAACCTACAGCCAAAGATAATCTATCCAGCAAAGCTATCACTCAGAATCGAAGGTCAGATAAAGAGCTTCACTAATAAAATAAAAAAAGCTAAAGGAGTTCACCACCAAACCAGAATTATATGAATTGCTGAAGGGGGTTCTTTCAGAAGAGAAAGTAAATAAAGATAAAAACTATGAATAACAAATACGTAACTATCAACAAGGGATTCTAAAAACCAAGGAAATAAAAAAAAAATCTGATGAACAATATTAACTGTTGAATATAATACAATAGAATCAGAGGTATGGAAGGGGAGTGAACTGACGATTCTTGGGGAAAAGGGGAGTGAGGGGTGTGGGAGACTGAACATAAACTGTGCACCTACGGATGAGGACAATGGGGAGTGGGGAAAGGGCAGAGGGTGGGGTGGGAACCTGGTGGAGGGGAGCAATGGAGGGGGGGGAGGAACATTTGTAATAATATGAACAATAAAATTTTATTTTAAAATAAATAAATAAATCATGAAGTATAATTTAGGAGATACCAGAAAGTAACTTGAATCTCTTCATGGCAAATTGTTTGGGAGTTTAAAAAAAAATACATATTTTTTTAGTTGTTTTCAGAGACAGGAAGGGAGAGGGAGAGATAGAAACACACCGATGAGAGAGCAACATTTGATCAGCTGCCTCTGCATACCTGATATTGGGGATCAAGCCTACAACCCGGGGGTGTGCCCTGACCAGGAATTGAACTGAGACCTCTTGGTTCATGGGTCATTGCTCAACCAGTGAGCCACACTGACCAGGACAATTTGGGCCTTTTTTTTAAATTTAATAAATCTTTATTGTTCAGATTATTACAATTGTTCCTTTTTTCCCCCTCCAGGTTCCTACCTCACCCTCTGCCCTCCCCCCCCCTCGTCCTCATCCATAGGTGTATGATATTTGTTCAGTCTCTTCCCCCACTCCCCTTTCCCCCAGAATCGTCAGTCCACTCCCTTTCTATACCCCTGATTCTATTATATTCACCAGTTAATACTGTTCACCAGGTTTTTTATTCCCTTGGTTTTTAGATTCACTTGATAGTTATGTATTTGTTGTTCATAATTTTTATCTTTACCTTCTTTCTCTTCTTAAAGAATATCTTTTAGCATTTCATATAATTCTGGTTTGATGGTGATGTACTCCTTTAGCTTTTTTTTTAATTTGTGAAGCTTTTTATCTGGCCTTCAATTCTGAATGATAGCTTTGCTGCATAGAGTAATATTGGTTGTAGGTTCTCGCTATTCATCACTTTGAATATTTCCTGCCACTCCTGTCTGGCCTGCATAGTTTCTGTTGAGAAATCAACTGACAATCGTATGGGTACTCCCTTGTAGGTAACTAACTGCTTTTCTCTTGATGCTTTTAATATTTTCTGTTTGTTTTTTGCTCTTGGAATTTTAATTATGATTTGTCTTGGTGTGGTCCTCTTTGGATTCCTCTTGTTTGGGGTTCTGTGTGTGCTTCCTGGACTTGTAAGTCTATTTCTTTTACCAGGTGGGGGAAGTTTTCTGACATTATTTCTTCAAATAGGTTTTCAGTATCTTGCTCTCTCTCATCTTCTGGGACCCCCATAATTCTGATGTTGGTACCCTTGAAGTTGTCCCAGAGGCTTCTTACACTATCTTAAACTTTTTGTATTCTGTTTGCTTTTCCGGAGGAGTGTTTTTTACTTCTTGGTATTCCAAATCTTTGACTTGATTCTTGTGATCCTCTAGTCTGCTTTTAGGTCTCTGTATAATATTTATTTCAGTCAGTGTATGCTTAATTTCTAGTTGATCCCTTTTCATATCCTCAAAGGTCTCGTTTAATTTATCGGCCTTTTCTAGGAAATTCCTGAAAAACCTTATAACTGTGGTTTTGAACTCTATATCCATTTTTTTTGCTTTGCTCCATTTCCTTCATTTGTGGTCTGCCTCTTTGTCTCTGCATTTTCGCTGCTTCCCTGAGTTGATGGAGTGGCTTTGTGTGCTAGGTGTCCTAGCAGGGCCCAGTAGCTCAGCTTCCCCAGTTACCTGAGGTGGACACTCTTGGCTCAGCCCTTTGTGGGCTGTGTGTGCAGTCTTGTTGTAGTCAAGACTTGTTTGTTGTTAGTATCACTGGGGAGAGTTGATTTCCAAGCCAATTGGGTGTGAGGATCAGCAGTGTCTCTGCTAGGAGGGCTTCTGTGCTCAGCCTGGATGGGGTAGAGTCTCAGGGTGGCGCAGCAGCCTTGGTTTCCCTGTCAGCCCCGCCCTAAGAGGGCCTTGTTCCCTGAGTCCCGGGGCAATGGCTGCTGGCCGCCCGCACCTCTGAGAGAAGACTGCCCTCGAGTTTCGCCTTCTGTGGGACAGTCCAATTTCTCCCTGACCAGAGCTAGATATCAGTGCAATAGGGAGATTTTGTTTTCCTCCCCAACAAGAAAGCTAGCTGCACGTTAGCTGCCCGCCCTCCGTGTGTGCCGCGAGTAAGCCAGCAGCGTATTCAGCCACCCGCCCTTCCCACTCTCACAGATCTCCGCACCTCCACAGCTCCTGAGGCTCAGCGTCCTTTTCTCTTTTTTTCTAGTTGGTAGAGCTTCCACTCAGCCAGCTTTCTGGTGGTTCTGGACGATGTCCGCTCTGTTTTCCAGTTGTAATTTCAAAATTGTTGTGGTAGGCTACATTTAGGTGTTTACCTTATGCTGCCATCTTGGTTTCTCCGGATTTTTTTAATATAAACAGTAGGGGAATCACAGGATATATTATTCTATTGAAAATGTAGAAAATACAGAAAAAAGTACAAAATAATAAATTACCCATGATCTTGCTATTCTTAATCTTTTGGAGTATATTCTTTGAGAGGCCTTTCCCCTTCTTAATGGTTTTGTGTATGTGTGTGTAGAAAGGGAAGAATGTGTATTTCACATATTTATCCTCACCCAGGGATATATATTTATTGATTTTGGGGGGGGGGGGACATCAGTATAAGAAAGTTCAGATAACTAGTTCACCCAAAGGACAACAAGGTGTCTTAGCTCTAATTGACTTTTGTATCTGCTCATCTCTATCCAAAACCTACTTCCCTTGGCGGGGTGGAGGGGACAAAAAAACAAAAAAAAACACCCTACTTCCCATGGAGAAACTAGCACAGAACAGGTCACTGCCCTGGGGTCAGGAAACAAGGCCCTATGATTAGTAACTGCCTTCCTCCCCACCCCTCCAAGAACCCCACTGTGTTAAGGAGAGGCAGTTCCCCAATGGGAGGGGTGCTGGGCAGACCCAGGCAGGACCTAGTCATTACAAAGCCTTTCCTGACTCCCCTTTACCTGCAAGTCTACACTCCTCTCTCTGTAGATTAGGGGTGTCGAACTCAATCAGAGAAGGGGCCAAAATCTAAAATCCAGCCTAAATCGCGGGCCGAATGGTTTACTGAACAGTCATAAACTGTCACTGTGATGGAAACGCAGCGGAGTGCAGTGATGACAGCGCGGTGCGGGCCACATTGCAAGGCCTGGCGGGACGGATTTGGCCCGCGGGCCTTGTGTTTGACACGTGCTGTAGATGATCCAGTAGCTTTGCACCCCACCCTAGTTTATAGTTGCAACTCCTCACCAGCTGTTACTGCAAGGTGGACCAGCCGGTGTCACACATTAGGCACTTAGGAAGTATTGGGTGAAGGGAATTCTAGCAGACCTAAGTTAGCAATTGCAAACATGTGTCCTCTCATTTTCCAAGGTGGGTGTCCTCCACTGCATCTTTGTAACGCCTTTGATAATATGTTGTGTCTTGACCCTATGCCATTTCCACTGCCTCCTCTCTAACTTAACGGCTCTCACTTTAGGTGATTGCTGGCTTCAACCGCCTTCGGCAGGAACAGCGGGGCCTGGCATCCAAGGCAGCCGAGCTGGAGATGGAGCTGAATGAGCACAGGTGAGGCCGCTGGGAGGCTGGGCTTCTGTGGGGAGGGCTGCAGGAGCAGGACCTGCATTCTGAGACCCTGTGTTGTCCTGCCACAGCCTCGTGATCGATACGCTTAAGGAGGTGGATGAAACCCGCAAGTGCTTCCGCATGGTTGGAGGGGTGCTGGTGGAGCGCACTGTCAAAGAGGTGCTGCCTGCCTTGGAGAACAACAAGGAGCAGGTGAGCGAGTCAAGGAGAGCTCTGGGCAACCACTGGAGAGGGAAGAGGAGGGCAGGGATTGAGGGGATTGGTGGCGGGAAGTCTGAGTAGCCTCTTAGCTTCCGCTCTCCATGCTACACTAGGTCCAACTCATAGACGAGAGGCTGTATGCCTCTGTTCCTGGCTGATTTGGGGAGGAGAGGTGGTGAGAGCAGTGTTTCCGTGGATACCTGCGTCCAAATCAACTGGAGGACTAATTTGAAATACACCTTCCTAGACCCTGTCCTGGTTCAGAACCTTTGGAGCTGGGGCCCATGAAGTGGCATTTTAAAAACAAGCACTGGCCGAAGCTGGTTTGGCTCAGTGGTAGAGCGTCTGTCTGCGGACTGAAGGGTCCCGGGTTCGATTCCGGTCAAGGGCATGTACATTGGTTGCGGGCACATCCCCGGTGGGGGGGGTGCAGGAGGCGGCTGGTCAATGTTTCTCTCTCATCGACGTTTCTGGCTCTCTATCTCTCTCCCTTCCTCTCTGTAAAAAAATCAATAAAATATATTTAAAAATTAAAAAAAAAAAAAAGCACTGGCCGCCGAAACCGGTTTGGCTCAGTGGTAGAGCGTCAGCCTGCGGACTGAAAGGTCCCAGGTTCGATTCCGGTCAAGGACATGTACCTAGGTTGCGGACAAATCCCCAATAGGGGGTGTGCAAGAGGCAGCTGATCGATGATTCTCTCTCATCGATGTTTCTAACTCTCTATTCCTCTCTCTTCCTCTCTGTAAACAATCAATAAAATATATTTTTTAAAAAATGGCACTGTGGCCCTCATAATAAAAACCTTGAAATTGTTAAAAAAAATAATAATTATTATTTTAAAAAAAGATAAGCACTGGCTGGTTGGCTCAGTAAATCGAGCATCGGCCTGCAACTGAAGGGTCCTGGATTCGACTCCAGTCAAGGGCACATGCCTGGGTTTTGGGCTTGGTCCTCAGTGATGGGCTTGCAAGAGGCAGCCTATCAATGATTCCCTGTCATCATTGATGTCTCTCTCTCTCTCTCTCTTCCTCTCTGAAATCAATAGAAATATATTGGGGAAAAAACAAGCAGTCCATGGGACCCTTGTGTCTGCTAGGGTTTATGAAACCTCATGTTTGAGAAGCAATAGTTTTAGTGTCTGGCTCTACTTTACTACCTGGTTAAAGGTGGGATTGGAGGGGTCATGTCGTCTTCACTTCCCTAGCCCATACCAGGGTGGGGATGGAAATCCTGAGTACTGTCTGTCCCTTGCCTTCTAGATACAGAAGATCATTGAGACACTGACTCAGCAGCTTCAGGCAAAGGGAAAAGAATTAAATGAATTCCGGGAAAAGCACAATATTCGACTCATGGGCGAAGATGAGAAGCCAGCCAAGGAGAACTCAGAAGGAGCAGGGGCGAAGGCCAGCTCCGCTGGAGTGTTGGTCTCCTAGGGACCAAGGCCTTTGCATTTTTTCCTACCTGACTCCTACTTCCAGTTTCTCATTGTTATTTCCTCTGCTGTTATAATATTTTTTGTTAATTAAATGTTTTAGTCAGAATGTGTATCTCTAGCCTGAAGCTTTCTTTCCACTGGAGGGATGGGATTTGCATGGGGCAGGGAGGAGCATGTGACTGTGTCCCATCGTTAATGGCCACAGTATCAGAGGGCCCGTGCTTCATCCTTTGCCTTGTATACACAGATGTCTCTACCATTTTTGTGTTTTTTGTTAATTCTCACCTAAGGGTATTTCTTCCCATTGATATTTTTAGAGAGTGGAAGGGCGGGGGTGGGGGGATGGGGGTGATGGGGGAACACACATCAGTTAGTTGCCTCCCTAACTTGTCCGGACTGGTGCTGGGAACCAAAACTGCAACCCTCAGTATGTGCCCCAGATTGGGAATCAACCCTTTTGTGTGCAGGGCCAACACTGACCACTGAGCACACTGGCCAAGACAGATGTGTCTACTTACTGCCCTCCACCCCAAAAGATTCAGAGACAAATGTTGGCTGTTAGATGGAAATTTAATAAGCATTTGAAAAAGAAACAGACTGTCAAATTACAGTGGGGAGGGTAGGGAGATGAGATCAACCTGAGGACTTGTATGCATGCATATAAGCATAACCAATGGGTGAAAAATTCTGGGAAGGGAGGGCATGTATGGGAGTGGGGCTGGGGTGGGAATTGGTAAGGTATGTACACATATTATACCTTAATAAAAAAAAATGAGGAAATAAAAAGCATTTGACAGACAGGTAGCTCTGGTGATAACGCTGTAAGAGTTTACGATAAAGCGGCCTGGCAGCGTGTCTTGGCACCGCTTTTTAGAGAAAGAGGTCCAGGGTGCACAGTTGTGGACTGGCTGTCCTGCCGTCCTCCCCAAAACCCCCAACCAGGTACAGCTGGTCATTCCAAAGGCAGGTCCGGTGGCCCACGCGTTTCAGTGCGCGGTCTGCACAGGGGAAGCGGAACCACAGGGAAGGAGCCCTGCCTGTGGGGTGAGGCAGAGGTGGCGGTTAGGGAGAGGTAGCAGTTGGTCACTCAGGGGCTTAAACCAAAGGTTCGCCCCTTTTTCCCTCCTCACTTGATCTCTGGTTTTTCAAAATTTAATATTCTGTGTTCCTTTAACTTGTCAACTAATTCTTCCTTCTCCCTCCTCCATCACTACCCCTTTCTCTGCTCTTCAAGTTCTCCTGTCTTCCGACCTTTCCCCTCAACCAGTCATTGAATGTGTTCTCACGGGCATCGTAGATGTAGAGGTCGTTGCAGATGGTGTCTCTAGCTCTGGTCAGAGTCTCTCCACCAAACAGCACAGCAAAGGGCCCGACCACAGAGCATGAATGATGCCGGAGGCCCCGAGGCCCATGCCGGGACCCCTGCCCGCTGCTCACGAGCTTTGATAGCTGTTCCGTTAAAAGGGGGGCAGCAGGCGCTTCCTCCTTGGGAGAAAGAAGGGACTGTCTGGAGGGGTTTGAGCGCCATTGTAACTGCCTCCCACCCTAAGCAAGGCCCGAGTAGTACCCGGATCTCCCCGTGGCGCCAGTGCCCGGCTACTTCCGGTTCGGCTGAGTCGCAACCTCCAAAGAGCAGCAGCTGGTGACCCGGGCGGGGCCCGGGCGTGGGGAGCAGGGCGGCGCAGTGCCCGGAGCGGGAGGCGGAGCGGTAGCTTTCTTCCCTGTAGCTGAGGGTGCGCACTCGGTCGGCGGCCCGGTGGGGGTTTCCGGAAACTACGCTGCCTTCCCCACCCCCTTTGCCCAGGGTCAGAAGGGGCCTGGGGCGGAGGGCCATGCTGGCAGGGCCAGGTCATCCCAGCGGCCCGGGGGAGGCTGCCGGGCGGCGTCCGCAGAGCGGGGCGCAGGGCGGCCGGGCCGGGCCCGGGGGCCATACCGGTAGGTGCGGGCGCCGGGGTCCAGCCTCAGCGTGTAGATGCTTCCGTAGCGACGCTGAGTGCGGGTCCCCCCTTCCCGGCCGGCCACCCGCAGCTCTCGGTCCGAGAGGCGGGTGCAGGTGTGGCTGCTGAGGCCCGCGGGGGCGCAGCTGCCGGGCGCCGCGGCCCACGCCTCCCACTCGCCGCGCTCGGCGTCCAGGGCGGCCACGGCGGCCAGGCGGCGCGCCCCGTCCCAGCCGCCCACGGCGCACAGCCAGCGCCCGCCCAGCGCCGCCGCGTCGTGGTGGCTGCGCCGCGGGCCGCCCCGCGCCCCCGTCCGCACGGCCGGCCCTGCCGGGTCCAGGACCACCGTGTCGGCGCTGGGCTCGGCCGCGCCCCCGGCCAGCAGGCCCCCCACCAGGTAGAGGCGGCCCCGCAGTTCGGTGCACGAGTGGAAGGCCCGCGCCAGGAGCGCGTCCCGGGCCACCGGCCGCCAGGTCCAGCGCGAGCCCCCCGCCCCGCCCGGGGGCGCCGCCGCCATGGCCCGCGGGAGAGGCGCCGCGGCGGTCGGGTCCCAGCTCCCCGGCGCCTCTCCCCGCGTCGCCCAGCAACGCCGCCGCCGCCCAGGGCCGGGCGAGGAGCGCCGGCGGAGCGCTGGGACCGGAAACCCTGGGAGGCGGCGCCCACTCGGCCGGAAGCCGCGCCTGGTCTCCGCGGCGCCTCCTGGCGGCCCCCGCGGGCGGGGCGGGCGGGGGCTCGCCGCTGGGGGGCAGCAGACCTCCCTCTTCGGACTGCGGTCCCCGCGGCCTTGGAGACCAGGTCAGGCCACGCGAGGATGCCGCTGCTAGGCCCCAGGATGCAGCCGTGGTCGGCAAACTGCGGCTCTTTGGCCCCTTGAGTGTGGCTCTTCCGCAAAATACCACGGCCTGGGCGAGTCTATTTTGAAGAAGTGACGTTAGAAGTGTAAGTTTAAAAAATGTGGCTCTCAGAATAAATTTCCACTGTTGTGCTGTTGATATTTGGCTCTGTTGATGAATGAGTTTGCCGACCACTGGAAGGGCAGGGGTTCCTCCTGATGCGATCCAGGTGGAGCTGCCCGGACATGGGAGCTGGATGGGGCGAGTGGGGGTGGTTCGAGGGAACACACCCCTGCCCTCCCTGGTCTCCTTTTATTCAGGCAGATCCCCAGGACCCAGGGGAGAATGGAGAGGTCCAGATCAAAGCGGCTAGTTTCAGCGACAGCAGGAACGCAGACATTGTCCGGACACAGCTGGGAGGGAGCAGCGGGGCGTGTCCCGGCTGCGCTGTCCGGGCGGCGATGCCTGTGCAGTTGCTCTGGGTTCTGCTCATCGCTGGACTCCATTCAGAGGCCTCGGCAGGGCTGCCCTGGGATCGGACAGCACAGCAGGCTCTGCCCTCCCTGCCCTCCATTGGGGCAGGAGGGGGCAGGTATGTTCAGGAAGGCACAGGCGAAGCCTGGGAGGTTGCAGAGACCTGTCCCCCACGCTTACTTTAAAGCTGAGACTCAATAAGAGCTTTGAAAGTCTCTGCCCACCCAACTGTTGCTTTCCCTGATTCTGATATGGAGGATTCTGTCTTCCCAGCTCTTGTTAAAAGCCTCTAAGCAATCTCTAACTTCTAATGTCCTTGGCTAAAGTGTGAGAGCCAGTCCTTTCCCTAAGGCTGTGCCTGGGTAACCTCCCCACAGCTGGCTTCAGCTTGTCCCAGTCCTTGGACTTAGCAGGGGAGATGCCTGGAGGAGGGTCATTTTGCTTAAGTTTTATGGGCTTGTAATGCCCATTTGGGGCTCTTACTTTAGCTTAAATCTGGCTGTTCTTTCTGCTGGACTCACTTCCTGCCTCTCCTGGACAGAACAGGGACTCCCGCACCCACTGAGGGCCTTCCACTCCTCCCCAGGCCCCTCTAACTCTGTCTGCACAGCTGGCCTCTCACTTGGGCCAGGAGCCCGAACCTCACTCACTCCTGGGTTTTGCACTTCCTTTGAGGTGGCATCCAGACACTGCAGCTCCTTCCCTGGTTAGTCTGAAACCAAGCTCAGATCTTACTAGTAGAGGAGGCAGGGGGGAAATCCAGGTAATAATAATAATAATAATAATAATAATAATAATAAATCAAATAAAAAAAGGCCAAAAAAAGAAAGAGAAGGGAAACAAGCCAATCTGGCCTGGCCTGCATAGCTCAGGGGTTGAGCATCATCCTATGAACCAGAAGGCCATGCTTGGTCAGGGCACAGGCCCAAGTAGCAGGCTCGATTCCCATTGAAGAGTGTGCAGGAGGCAACCGATCAGTGATTCTCATCACCGATGTTTCTCTCCCTTCCAGTCTGAAATCAATTAAAAAAAAAAAACATTTAAAAAAAAGAAAAGAAGCAGGACGTGTATGTCACATCCCTCCACCCCAGGGCAGCCTCTCTGAGGTCCTGACAGTGCGACAGACCAAAGGGCATTGAGAAAGGGCTGGGGGCGGGGTTCCTTCCTGCCCTGGCCCTGCTCTCACTGCCGATGGCGCCCAGGCGTGGGCTGGGCCGGTCATCCTGAAAATGTAATCCTGGCAGGACCCTCAAACTGACCTGTTTGGACAAGCAAGGCTCCTGCAGCCCAGCTTCTCAGACTGAGTCTGGGTCTGTCCTCGCCCCAAATCTGCCTCCTGGGTGCAACCCTTCACAAAGCGCTCAGTCTGGTTTCTTCTTGCCTTAACCCTGTCTTCTGACTGACCCATCCTGGTTCTCAGCATCATTCAGTTCACACAGCTGACAGTGGACCCGCGGGTGTCCGTCACACTCTGGAGATCCCCAAGTTCTCTCCGCCTTTGTCTCCCAGGCTCCCCCACATTCCTGCCCTTTCTGTGGGTCTTTCTCTGTTCTGGACCCTTCTACACCCCCTGCAGCTCATTCTGGCCAGGTGACAGCTGGCCTCATGCCTTCACGCCTCCACTCAGCTCAGCCAGAAAGAGGACGTGGACAAACAGAAGGACAGAGGAATGACAGCAAGGGCCAGGTCTTAAGCCCTCCCCTGAGACGTGCTGCCAGGAGCAGCCTCTCGGGAGAAATTGGTGAGTTACAAAATGGTGGTGAGATGGATAAGGATGGGAGAGAACTTGAGGGACTTGGTGATATTGAATAAGAAACCGGTGTGGCTCAGTAGATAGAGCGTCAGTCTGCGGACTGAAAGGTCCCAGGTTCGATTCTGGTCAAGGGCATGTACATTGGTTACAGGCCATCCCCAGAAGGGGGCGTGCAGGAGGCAGCTGATTGATGTTTCTAGCTCTCTGTCCCTCTCCCTTCCTCTCTGTGAAAAATCAATAATATATGTATATATTTTTTTATTTTATTTTTTTAAGTATCACTGGGCCCCTATTGAGTGGTCAAAAGTTGAGGGCAGAACCTGGCTAGCGTGGCTCAGTGGGTGAGCACTGACCCATGAACCAGGAGGTCAGGTGCAGTTCCTGATCAGAGCACGTGCCTGAGTTGTGGGCTCAGTCCCCAGTGTGGGGTGTGCAGGATGCAGCGGATCAATGATTCCCTCGTCATTGACTTTTCTCTCTCTCTCTCCTTCTCTGAAATCAATTTTAAAATGTATTTTTAAAAACATAAAATATTGCCGAGACCGGTTTGGCTCAGTGGATAGAGCGTCGGCTTGGGGACTGAAGGGACCCGGGTTCGATTCTGGTCAAGGGCATGTACCTTGGTTGCGGGTATATCCCCGGTGGGGGGTGTGCAAGAGGCAACTGATCGATGACTCTCTCTCTCATCGATGTTTCTGACTCTCTGTCTCTCTCCCTTCCTTTCTGTACAAAATCAATAAAATATATTAAAAAAACAACCATAAAATATTGAGGGCGGAGAGGGAAGTGCCTGAGTGCCCCCAGCAGTGTAAGTACTCAGAACCCGCCTTCCGGCTTTCTGTGTTGGCGGTTCATCTGTCTCAGCTGCTCAGTCTGAACGACCCTGTGGCTGATGCTGTGTGCACCTCTGTCGTTGTCTCTGGTCCCCGGCCTCGCTGCGCCTTGAGGTCTGTCTTTCCCCACGTCCACGCCCGTGGCTCTCTGCATCTGCCTGCTCTGTCTCTGTGCCGCTGAACAGAGCCAGCCTCCGACTCCTCGCCAAGAGCTTTGGAATGTCCCAGGAGCAGCCACTTATTTATTTTTAATTTTTATTTATTGATTAAAGTATTACATGTGTATCCTTATTGCCCCATTGCCCCCCCACACATGCACATACTCATGCCCTCACCCCTGGTGTCTGAGCCCATTGGTCATTTAAAAAAATATATTTTTTACTGATTTTTTACAGAGAAGGATAGAGAGTTAGAAACACTGATGAGAGAAAATCATCGATTAGCTGCCTTTTACACGACCCCTACTGGGAATGTGCCCAAAACCATGATACATGCCCTTGACCAGAATCGAACCCGGGACCTTTCAGTCCGCAGCCAACGCTCTACCACTGAGCCAAACTGGTTTTGCCCATGGGTCATTTTTTTTTTTTTTTCAGAGAAAGAAAGGGATAGAAAGACAGAAACGTCAATGATGAGAGAGAATCATGGATCAGCTGCCTCCTGCAGCCCCCCCCCCCCCCCCCGCCCGAATCAAGCCTCAACCCGCGCCTGTGCCCTGATTGGGAATCGAACTGTGACCTCCTATTCACAGGTGAGCCCCGCCAGCGACAGATCCACTGCCACCAATCGCAAGACCCACCCACCTTTGCTCTTACCTTCTCCTCATGGGGGAGTCTGTTGCTGACACCATGTGGAAGATTCCACGGGGCTCCTCCTCTTATCCTACTCCAGCCAGGACCTGTTTCTCCTCTTTCCAGAACTTTCTGAAAGTGCTAGCCCCCCAAAGGCACAGGACAAAGAATCCAGCATCTTCTGAGCCTGTACTTATGGAAGGCGGGTGCCCTGCTGAGAGTGACCTGGGGTTCTGCACACAACCCCGGCTCCGGTGGGGCCCCGCCCGCTGAGCGACAGGGAGTGTGGTTGTCAGGAAAAGACGGCCGCACTGGGGGACAGGCTGGCGGCAGCAGCAGAGGCGCATCTGTGAGAAACGGGCGACCCTGAGCTGGCAGAGCCGCTGCGGCGAGGGGAGCGGTGCTCCGTGGAGGGGGTGGGGCTGGAGCCCTGCTTTCCGCGCCCCCCCCCCCCCCAAACAGGAGCGCTCTAGGGAGGAGCAAGAGGGTGGCCTGGGGATGGAGGCAAGCCCTCCCCCCATCCCCGCAGCACCAGCACCAGCCCGGCCTGAGCAGAGGGGGAGCCGGGAAGGGGGGCTGCGGGCCCCGGACCCCCCGCAGCCGCTCCGCCGCCCTCACCTCCACCTCACCCAGAGCCAGCGCCCTCAGCCCGACTCCCTCCCACCGGGCTCACCAGACAGACCAGCTGCCCCACCCGCCTCCACCGCCCACCGGCCTGACCCTCACTGTCCCCCGCTCTCCGCCCGCCCGCCCCGGCCGCCTGACTCACTTCCAAGTCCACATTCACAAGCAGACATTGCAGCCCAGCCCGCTCCAACCGGTTTGGCTCCGTGTGCCGCCGCGACGGACGGCTGGGCGGTCGGTGGCACCTGCAGGCGATGGGCACCGAGGACGGGCAGCTCACCGGCGTGAGGGGCGGCCGGGGCCCGGAGCTGTTCTGCTTGCGTGTCCGTCTGCGGGGGGGGGGGGCTCCTGGGCAGGCCTCGGGCGGCACGGTGTGATGCCCACGCTGCCCGCGGGTGGGACTCTGGTGTCCGGCCCGGCTGCACGCGGGACCCGCTCAGCAGGTGCTTGTGATGAGATGCCGCTGTGGCCTGCTTGTCCCCATTCTTAGGACCCAGAATGTGTGTGTGGGGGGGGGAGGTGAGGCATGAGGGCATGGGGTTGTGAGGAAGGAAGTGTGCACCCAGGAGACCAGACCTGGCCTGGAGGCCCTCCCAGCCACCTCTCTCAGCGGCTTCATCTCAGGCAGGGGGCAGAGGCCTGAGGGGCACTGGGTCCAGCTTGGGGGTGGGGGCTCCCAGGGAGGCCGAGGAGGGGATGAGAGAGTCCCTCCCCCCGCGGGACACTCCTAGCCTCGGGCCCACCCACCCTGGCCTCATACCAGCTGGCAGTACACAGTCTATGGCACCTTATGGACTTGGGGTGACTGGCTGGCAGCACTGTGGGGTGATGCTGAATAGGGAAGCTGACAAGACACGGCCTGGTACTGCCTGTGATCAGACTGCTTTCCACCCAGGCCTCAGTTTCCCTGCGGCTCCCGGGCCCGGAGGTGAGTCCATGGGAAGGAAAAGGCTCCCCTGCAGCCAGGCAGCAGGGCCCACGTCCGACTAGGACCATCACAGCACAGGCACCCTCCGTCCCTACCCCCACCCGCCGGCTCCTCAGCATCAGGGCAGGGCTGCTCTCGGCCCTCACCCCAACCCTGGCCTGGGTCCTCAGGCTGGAAGGGGCTCACGAGGGGGCCGTGGGGAGAAATGGAGTTTGGGGTCCAGCCTGGCCCTTATTGCCCTTGAAGAAGAGGTCACGGCCACGGTCATTGCTGAGAGAGGGATCGAGAGCGAGGTCGAGGTCACATGACACCCCTTCTTTCCTGGTCCATCCGTTAACAAAGATGCACTCAGTCCCCTGCACGCGGCCGGCTGTCCCGCGTGGACGCAGACAAGGTTGTGACGCAAACCTGACTTCCGAGGAGCTCACAGACCCAGCCCCGCCCGCCCCTCACGGCGCACACGGAGGCTTCAATGCCACTTAACGGGAAGCTGCAGTGGAGCCGGGAGAAAGGCGCAGACCACGGGCATGGCCAGGCCGCACCCAGGCCTAGCCGGAGCAGGAGGAGTGCACACCGAGGCGTGCTGAGAGGCGGACGTGTGCCTTGTCCAGCGGGAGGGGTAAATGGCAGCATGAGCCGGCGATGAGGGGAAGGGAGCCTGCATGTCGGGCACCAGGCCAGTCAAGAAGGGTGGCGCTGCGGCCTGGGCGAATCCCTTGGCCAATCTCTCGCATCATCTCCTACATATGGGGGTCAGGGGCTCACTTTAGTTCCTTCTTAGGAGTCTTTGCACGAGCTCCCTACCTCAGGGGGAAGATGTCCGAGCAAACGCCCCCTCCAGCACCTCCCCTCTCCCCTCCCGCCTTCTCTTCGGAGGGATGGGGGATGGGCAGGTACTGTCCTTGGTTCTGCCTCCCCCGATGCTGAGCCTCGGAGACCGGACCGCTGGCAGGTGTGGATGCTCAGGCGCCTCCCGCTGCGGGGCCTTGCCCTGCCCCTGCCGCCTCTCTCTCCAGCCACCGGCGCCGCCCCCTCTGCTCGCCTCTCTTCAGGGCCCTGCGTGCTGCCAGGTGAAGCCTCGAGCTGAGGGTGGGATCCAAGGGCCTCCCCACCCTCCCTCCCCAGCGCCCATTAGCCGGGCCAGGGGGCGAGGCTGCAGCCGTGTGCCAGGCCCGGCCCCCAGACGCACCTGTTCTGACCTGCTGAGCAGGTTCCCAGTTTCTGCCGGAGCTGTTGGCCGCGGCGTGGGAAGCAGCTCTGGGGGAGCTCAGAGCTCCCATCACGGCTTCTGGGGGGGCAGCTGCCGCCGGGTGCAGGACGGGCCGGTCCCCTAGGGGAGCCCCAGGAGGACGGGCAGGTCTGCCAGGGCCCGGACCTGTGACCCTCCCGCCCCGGCCAGCGCCCTCTCCAGCCCCAGAGCTGGAGCCCCGGGAGCGCCCGGCGGCACCTGAGGAACGCGGGGCAGCTCTGCGTGGGACCCATGGCCCTGGCCCGCGGAGCCGACATGCAGGGGCCTGAGGCCTGGCTGCCGCTGCTGCTCCTGGCGTCACTGGCAGGTAGGCCTCCCGGAGCCACAGGACCCTCGCTTCTGAGCCGCCAGCGCCCCCTCCCCCGCGAGGCCTGACTGAGGACCCACCCTCTCCCACCAGCTGCCGGCCTGCCCCAGGGGAGTAGGGGAGCTCATCCCCGTGGCCCCCTCCGGCCGAGGCCTGGAGGAGAGGATGAGGGGCCGGGGCTGGGTGGGCCGGGGCCCTTCCACCAGGTCCGGGAGGAGCCCTCACCTCCCTGCTGAGCCGGGAACTGCTGATGGTGCGAGGCTGACTCAGGGGTGAGCTGGTTCCAGTCATGGGTGTGGGGAGCTGATGCCCCGAGAGGGACAGGGTTCTTTCTCCTTCTCTCCCTGAGCCCAGGACCAGGCGCTGGAGGGGCGATGGGCCCTCTCCCCCTGGACACAGTCAGATGCCAGTGTGGTGACGATGTGACTGCTCGGATGAGTTGGGGGCTAGGAGGTGCCTTCCAGCCAGGTGTGGTTCCCTTTGCTCATTGCTGTCCCCATTTCCTCACGGAGACTGTCTGATGTATGAAGCCGATGGGAATGACAGGAGCTTCGGACGGGATAGGACCCCGTGGGATCGCGTGGGCCATGAGTAACCGAGACACCCTTCCCTTTGGGACTCGGGGACCTGCCTGCCTAGGACTGTTCCACCCCAGGCCCAGGAGCAGCCACAGCCTGGTGGTCCAGCAGGGTCCTTGCTTCCGCACCTGCCGGGATGGCCCTGCTCCCCCCTTCCTCCCCCCTGCTGTCAGGGTAGCGAGCCTGGCTGTGTGTGGGGGGACTGCTCTCCTTCCACCTGAAGATGGAGGGGTCTTGGCCCAGCCTCCAATCATAGGGCACTGAGCCTCTATCCCCACCGCCCCTCCCCCCCTCATTCCCTTCTCCAGGAGCCCTCTCACTCGCTCAGGCCCAGAAGGTGGGGCTGGGTGGCTTGGCAGCCACTTGCCTGCAGGACCTGCCCACACCTCGAGGATGGGGCAGGATCAGAGAGGTCGCAGCTCCAACTCCCTCACTGCCCGGAGGGAAACTGACTCCCTCAGGGTTAGAACTAGGCCGTCCTGAACGAGACCCTCCCTGCCCCCTCCATGACCCAGAGCTTGTTCTAAGAGAAGCCCAGGGAGAGCTTCTAGTGAGGGCGGCCTTGGCCTTGGCCTTGGCCAGGCCTGACAGACGGACAGGGGACATGCCAATGGTGGGAAGCAGCCTGGCTTCAGGACACCAGGCTGGTGCCCAGGGAGCTGCTGGCAGTGCTGTCGCCGCCGCTGGCCGAGGGCTCGGGCCGAGCGTCAGCTGCCCCCGTGGCCCCCATAGTCCAGGCTTCTCTGTGTTTGGGCTCCTTCTCAGAAGCTGCCGTGTTTCTCTCTCTGAAAGCCTTGAGTTCTGGCCTGTTTCTGCTCTTAATCTGTTAGGTGGCCTTGGGCAACTCAGAAAGTCTTAGGAGACCCAGAGTGGCCGCTGTCTGCGCCCTCCGGCCCGAGGCCCGAGGCGGAGTGAATGGCCGCAGAGCGGTGCTGGGTGTGGGAGGCAGGCAGTCTGGCTGTGGTGATAAAAGGGGGTCCCTCTGGGTGAGACCAAGGCTGGCTTCACCCCGACACTGCCCTCCGCCCATTAGTGCCCCCCTGCAGGCCCTGACAGCTCTGAGCCCCAGGGCCTGCCCCGCCCTGGCCGAGGAGGAGGCTGGGGAGGCGCCTGCACCAAGGCTCTTTGTTTCTCTTTAATGAGATGAGTTTCCGGGTGAGGTCCCCTCCCTCCTCCCTCCCCACCTCCTGCCCTGGGCGGGAGGGCCCCAGGTCGCCAGACACCCTGTAGTAAGTAAGTAGATCCTCTTCCCAACTGGGTCTGGCCCCAGGGGGTCGCAGGCCAGGGGTGGGTCTCCATTTCTGCCCTCCAGGGGAGGACCAGCTTTTGTCTGAGGTTGGCTTCCTAGAAAGGGAGGCACATCCCTGCTTCTCTCCTCCTGTCACGGGGCAGCCCTCTCCTCAGGATCTTCCCAAACCCCGTGGAGCGTTAAGCCTCCTGAGGGAGAAGGCCTGGCTCTCTGGCCTCTCGAACGAGCCCTCCGACCAGGTCTCCGCAGGAAGGAGGGTGCGGCCGGGGAGCCGAGTCGGGAGGGAGCCCAGAGACTGGGCCTGGGAACAGAATACAAATGGAAGGTGACGTTGGGAACTGGGGCCACAGCCCTGGAGGAGGGTGCCAGGTGGGACCCCTCAGCTGGCCGTGGCCTCTGGCCTGGCCTTTCCCATAGTTCTCTGCCCCTCCCCCCACTCACCTCAAATTGGTGTGTGCTGGGAGCTGAGGAGAGGCTGGGATTTGGGTGGGGCAGAGCTGGCCACACTTGGAGAGTGGCTGGCAGGATGGGGGGGAGGGAGGGTGGCTAGGATCTCAGGAGTTTGGGAGAAGCTGAATTCTGGGTCTCCCACCCACAGTGTGGCTGTTTTGGTGACTCAGCCAGGCTCAGACTGGCTCCGGGGGGTTTAGGGGACTTATCTGAGCGGGAGCTGTGTCTGGGCTGAGCGGGCTGCCTCCAGGCCTGCCCTGCCTCATTGTTGTCATCGCAGCTCTTCTGCTGTGGCCCCCTCCCCAGACGCTAATCGGTGGGCGGGCGCTGTGCCCAGGTTGCTAAGCTGGGGGCTTAGGACAGTGGGAGGGAAGGAGGGAGGCAGGTGAAGCAGAGGGAGAAGCTCCTGGTTTTGCTCCAAGGCCAAGGCTGCCCAGGAGGGAGGAGCAGGGCTTCAGGGCCCCCTTCCAGGTCCTTTCTCTCCAATCTCCTGGTGGCTTCACTCTGTGGAGGCTGCGGTGGTGCTGGGGGGCGCATGCTGGTGTGTGGGGCGTGGGGCAGGGTTAACTAGGCCCTCCCTCCCTCAGCCCCGGGCGGCATCCTCCTCCCACCAGCCACACCAGACCACCGGCACCAACCCGTCACCCCACCCGGGCCAGAGCCAGGGCTGCTTGGGTGGTGGCAGCAGGTGTTCCCAGGGCCACAGGTGCTGGGGGCCCTGGGAGGGGCTGGGGGAGGAGTGAGGGTCCTGGGGACAAGGGTGGAGAGAGCGCTCAGCTCCTTCTGTTGGGGAGCCCGTGATGGCAGCTGCCCAGGGCTTCCCGAGGGACAGGACTTCACCTCTGGGCCCTCCCCTCGGTGAGGTGGGTGGGCGACTGGGCGACATTCCAGATGGACACAGCCACACGCCACAGACCACGCACACCGACCGGGCAGCCGAGACAGGGAGGCATGCAGGCACCGGGGGAGCCACAGCCGAACATTCACCAACACGGTGGGACAGGAGTGTGAGACGCGGGCACATGCACACCCCATACGCTGCTCTTCGGTTGCAGACAAGCACATACACTCACTGAAGGCAAGGCGTGAACACGAGTGAGCGACCCCTTCGTGCAAGGAGGCAGCCTCCCGTGCGTGTGAACTGGCACCAGGAGCAACCAGGCCTCACCCAGAGCGGCACGTCCAGATCCACGGCTCTCACTCCCCCCTGGTCCTCCCCGCTCCCGTGCTCCTGGGGCTGGAGGGAGAGGCCCCTCAGGAAGATCCTCCCTCCCCAGAGACCCTCTCTGGGGGCAGCCTCAGTTCCCCTCTGGGGCACAGGCCAGGCCTCACGCCCAGGAAGTCGGGACAAAAGCTCTGGGTGGGAGCAGCCAGGCCTGGAGGAGCTGTCTGGGAGCTGGTGGCGTGGGGCCTGGCCGGGGTGGGGAGGCCCAGGGCAGGGATCTTGTTGGGCCAGTTGGGCCTGTTCTTTCCCTTGTGCAAGGTGGTGGCTGGTGGCGGCTGTGGCTGAATCACCGAGGCTCCTGACCAGCGTCCTGGGCTCCCGGAGGCGGCTGGGAGGGTCGGAGGGAGGAGTGCAGCCAGCAGAGGCTGCGAGACAGACCCCAGCAATGCGCAGCAGGAGGGTGGGGGGGCTGGCCTGGCCACGGGGTGCCCACAGTGACCTCACCGGGCAGGCGGCTCTGGTGACGTCATCGTGCTGATGCCGGGGAGGCGCTGCGGGAGAGAGGAGGCTGCTGGGCTGGTGGCTGGGCTCTGGGTCCACTGGAGCCCAGTCCCTCCACTGAGGACTGTACTGCGGACGGCGGGGCTGTGGGAGCACTGAGGGCTTGCCTGTCTCCCTGGGTCCTGGGCAGGCTTGGGCTGGTCTCTGGGGAGTGTGGGTCTTGGACACACAGTAGGGATGAAGGATTGGGCTCAGGCATGTGCTAGGGACGCGCTGCCTGTTGTGCTGTATGAAGTGACCTTTGGGGAATGTGGGTGATCAGTGGGGAGCGGGTCAGATGGTTGCGATGTGGCCTCTGAGTCGTCTCAGGAGAGTCTGTGGAAGGGCTCTGTGCCGGCTGGAGCACTGGCCCCTGCAGCCTGCGGACGGCAGTGCTGGGCGCAGAGGCTGAGGAAGCCCATCTGCCAGGCAGCCCTGCCCTCCTGTGTCAGGGGACATGCTGGGAGGGGCAAAGGCGGCAGCTGGACTCCCAGGCTGGGCTGGGTGGGACCAACATCAGCTCAGGCAGCTCAGGGCCCTGGCATCCAGCCCTGCAGGTCTGTCCCGTCCCTTCCAGGCGCTCCCAGCTGCCAGCAGCACCCCTTCCACCCCTCCCTCTGCCCGCTCGGCTCTGCCTGCGGTGCCCTCAGATCCCCTGTAGTTGGGCTTCTGTCTCCCCCCATGCTTGTCCTCCACTGCCCCCCCCCCCTTTAAAAATATTTTTATTGATTTCAGAGAAGAAGGGAGAGAGAGAGAGATAGAAACATCAATGATGGGAGAGAATCATGGATCAGCTGCCTCCTGCATGCCCCTCACTGGAGATAAGCCTGCAACCCTGGCCTGTGGGCCAACTTGGAATCGGTTCATGGGTCGATGCTCAACCACTGAGCCACAGCGGCCGGGCCTCCACCCCTTTCTTTTTTCCTTTGCAGTGAACCCAGCTAACCAGTCTGTCCTGCCTGCACCCCAAGGTTGCCATGCACACCCCTCCCTGCCTAGCCCAGCCAGACTGCTGGTTCCTCAGGGTCCACCCTCCCACCTCCTGCCTGTCTCTTGTCTGTTCACTCGGCACTAATCCAGCCATCGGTGACCATGGCTTGAGTGTCAATCATGAGCAGGAATTCAGCCCACGGGCCCCCAGAAGAAGCACTGAGTCAGAACCCCCGTCTCCACATAAGACGTGAGGCCCAGGTTCTGCTCCGCGGGCGAGGCCGCCGCAGCCGGGAGCCGCGCGGAGAGCGGGCGCCGCAGGAAGGGGCTTCGAGGGTCTGAGCCCCTCTCCTGCCCCTTCCCGGCAGCCGTGCCTCCCGCTCCGGTGCGGCTCCCGCTTCCCCTGCCTCCCTGACCCCGCTCCCTCTGGACCCACTCAAACCCCTCTGCCCGGGGCGGGAGGCCCGCGCGGCTGGGCTCCAACCACGGCCTCAGACGCCCCGGCCTCGCCCGCCTCCCCGCCCGCCCGGGTCGCGCACAGCCCGGCTGCCTCCTCCGGGCCGCTCGCCTCCCGCCTGGTCCCCGGCCGGTTTCCCGGCCGCCCAGTCCCAGACGCCCGACCCACCTCACCTGAGCCTCGGCCTCAGCCTTCCCGTCTCAGCGACAGGCCGGCGGGCCCCCCTTCCCCCTCCCTGGAAGCCGGTCGCCCCGCTCCAAGCGGGAACCCAGCCTCCTGGGCGGACCGCCCCCCGCGGCTCCCCCCCTCCCCCCAGGACCCTGAAAGCCGTCTTCCGGGCGCAGGCCAGCCCCGCCGGCTGTGCGCCCCGAGGGCAGAGCCCCCTCCCCGCGGCCGCACCTACGCCGCAGGCCGGTCACTCCCTCCCGGGCCTCGGTTTCCCCCGGGGACAGGGACGGCGCCGCCCAGCCTGCTCTGTGGGCGCCGGGGAGCGGCCCCAGTGCTTCGCCAGCACCTCCGCCGCGGCCGCCGAGCCCCGCCCGCACCCCTAACCCGCTGCCTCTGTGCCCGCAGGCCGCTGCCCGGCGGGCGAGCTGGAGGCCCCGGAGCTGGTGACGGTGGTGCTGGGCCAGGACGCGCGGCTGCCCTGCCTCTACCGCGGGGGCCCCGGCGAGCAGGTGGCGCAGGTGGCCTGGGCGCGCGCCGCCGCGGGCGAGGGCGCCCGGGAGCTGGCGCTGCTGCACGCGCAGTACGGGCTGCACGTGGGCCCCGCCTACGAGGGCCGCGTGGAGCGGCCGCCGGCGCGCGGCCCCCCGGACGGCCCCCTGGACGGCGCGGTGCTGCTGCGCAACGCGGTGCAGGCGGACGAGGGCGAGTACGAGTGCCGCGTGAGCACCTTCCCGGCCGGCAGCTTCCAGGCGCGGCTGCGGCTCCGCGTGCTGGGTGAGCGGACCTGGGGCGGGGCCTGCGGGGGAGGGGTCGGGGAGCCTGGGAGGGGTCCGGGGGCGGGGCGGGGACCTGGGCGGGCCGGGGGACCCCGAGGGCGGGTCCTGCAGGGGGCCGGAAGCGCGGCCTGCAACCCATCCAGCTCCGCAACCCAGAGTGACCCGCGCCTTGGTTCCACCGGCTCAGCCGCGCGAGAAGCCATTTAACGCCAGTTCTTCCTCCCAGTGACCTGAAACCTCCCTCGGTTTCTTTCGGGCGACAGGGCCCAGCCAGCACTCACCTGCACCTGACTCTCAGCCCCCTAGCCCCAGCGCCCTCGGTGGCCCGGTTCCTGCCCAGCCCGCGGGTCCTGGCCCTCCGAGGGCAGTCAGCCGGTGCCTCCTTCTGGCCCGCCCCCTGGGTCTCACCGAGGTGCCCCCAGGCACTGGTCAGAGCCCCTCGGACCTGGGCTCCACGTGGGGCCCAGGAGTGGGCAGGCAGGCCCAGGGGGCAGGTGCCATCAGGACCAGGGCTATGTCTCCCTCGCCTGGACCTCAGTGAGGGTGGTCAGAGGCCAGACCGACCCTGTGAGTCACTGCTTTCCCGTTGGCGCTCATGGTCGGCGGAAGCCCCAAACCTAAGGTCAAGTCTTTTCCACCCTGGTTCAGGCTGCTAATGGTATGAAGGTGAAAAGGGTCTTTGTCATCTCCCTTCACTCACCAGCTTTGTAGGAAAATATGAGTGTGACCTCGGCTTGAGCACCTGAGACCCGGGGTCTGCGACGAGCCCTCTTCCGCCCTGAGCCTCGACTGCCTCTGACGGCCCAGCCGGAGCTGTCACTTCATGGCTTGTTGGCGGGACTGATGAGATTCTGTCTGTAAAGTGTTTAGCATAATGCTTGGTGCCTATTACTATAATATTATACCCACGTTATCTTTAATTAGTTCGTTGTTTTTATTAAAAAATAACCCATGCTCATTGTAAAAAGTACAAACAATGGACAGGTATAGTCGGGTGAGATTCTGCCACTCACCTGGCATCCTTACCGGTAAAACAAGAGAACGGGGACTGGAACTGGGCAGCCGTGGAAAAGGGACTGTGATGGGGCGGGCCTCCTGACGGGGTGCAGACCGTGACCCCTGTCCCTCACCTGCAGTGCCTCCCCTGCCCTCACTGAATCCTGGTCCAGCGCTGGAAGAGGGCCAGGGCCTGACACTGGCCGCCTCCTGCACAGCTGAGGGCAGCCCGGCCCCCAACGTGACCTGGGACACAGAAGTCAAGGGCACCATGTCCAGCCGCGCCTTTGAGCACTCCCGCTCGGCAGCTGTCACGTCCGAGTTCCGCCTGGTGCCCAGCCGCAGCATGAACGGGCGGCCCCTCACCTGCGTGGTGTCCCACCCCGGCCTGCTGCAGGACCAGAGGCTCACCCACACCCTGCACGTGGCCTGTGAGTGCTGGGGTCGTGGGGGGCCCCATGGCTTCGAGGGGCGGTGAGACCCTGAGAACCTGAGCCCACAGTCAGGCCAGCCGGGTCCTGTGGCTGAGGTGAGGTCTGGGGGGAGCCACCCAGATGACCCCAGGCCTCTGACGTAGAAGGGCAGTTGGAAGAATCACACGTGAACTGGGAGCTGAACTGGGGTGTCCAGGCGGGGATTCGAGCTGGCACCAGCTGCTGTTCTGCCTCCTCCCTTACTTCCTCCGCCGCAGAAGGAAAGTGATACCCGCTCAGGCTCCCGTGGAACTAGGAGCCCGGCGTGCAGGGCAGCTCAGGCTCAGGGCAGGGGTGCTCAGGGCAGCGGGGTGGCAGTGGGTGTGGGGCTCTGAGGGAAGAGGACGTTTCTGACTCAGCTGACCCAGCATGTGGCCCAGCGTGGCTCCTCAGCAGATGCTCGATAGGGAAAGGAATGGCATGTAGGTGGTTTAGCTTCCCAAGAATCCGGGAGCAGAACCAGTACGGCTCTGCAGGACATCCCAGGAGGGGCTTGGAGGAAGTGACCCATGGGTATGCTGAGGCACTTAGGGGCTCCTTGCCCTGTATCCCAGAGAGGAGCGGGGGCTCGGCTGGCACAGTGAGGAGGAAGGAGAAGGCAGGGGAGGCTCTCCCAGGTAGGTGGAGCCTGGGATGGGCCCTTGAAGGAACAGCAAGATCAAAGCTGTTTATCCCCTCCACCTTCCGTTCCAGACCTTGCAGAGGCCTCTGTGCGGGGCCTGGAAGACCAAAAGCTGTGGCAGACCGGCAGGGAAGGTGCCACGCTCAGGTGTTTGAGTGAAGGGCAGCCCCCGCCCACCTACAACTGGACACGGTGAGGGCCTGGCCTGGGAGGGCTTCTCTGAGGCCAGCATGTGCTCACGAGGGGCTGGGACGACACATTTTGAGCCCCAGGTACATGGGGCACAGCTCCTCCACGGAAGCACAGCCATGGCCCCAAGCGGTCGGCTGGCCGGGGTCTGGGCACGCGATCATCTGAGGGAACCAGCAGTGAAGACCTTGGCTTTCCCTAGCGTTTACATGACCACGTGTTCACACACTAATACTGTGTATGTTTACAAAAGTTCCTAAAGAGGGTAAGACAACATGGCACAGCTGATTGTCTCTGCTGTTAACCAACACCCTGTGGGCCCTGGTGGTGCCCACCCCATGTGCCCGCACCCGCCGCTCCCCGCAGGAGCGCTGGGCTTTCTCCGGGGTCTGAGGTCCAGGGCTGTGGGGGTGTGTGTGTGTAAGGCCAGGGTGCCCGAGGCCCTGCCCTCCTGTGCTCGGCGCCGGGGGGTGGGGCGCCAGTCACTTTTTCTGAGTCGTCTGAGCCCAGATGGTAATGAAGTGTCCTGTTGTGTGGACAGACTTCATGCCAGGGTGCCTGGTGCCCAGGCTGGTGATGTGCTGCCGCGGGAGCCTGTGGGATGGCATGCGCGTGTGGAGGGCGCCCGGGTCAGGCTGAGCAGCAGGGAGGAGGGCCTGCCTGGACCTGCCCGGGTGGGAGGGGCACCGTGGGAACAGCCTGCGGCTCTGGGTGACGACATGGGGGCGGGAAGGGAGCGAGGCCTGGACACGTCGGTGGTGCCGCCGCAGCCGGCCCGCGGCCCCATCAGCTCCCTGTCCTCAGGCTGGACGGGCCTCTGCCGAGCGGCGTGCGTGCGGACGGGGACACCCTGGGCTTCCCCCCGCTGACGGCTGAGCACAGCGGCGTCTACGTCTGCCGCGTGAGCAATGACCTCTCCTGGCGGGAGTCCCAGGTCACCGTGGAGGTGCTGGGTGAGCTCGGGGAGCCGGGGCGGCCGGGGCTGGGCGGAGGGCGGCTCTGTGGGGACCTCGGGCGCGGGAGCTGCCTCACTCAGGCAGCCTGTCTCCAGCAGACCCGGAGGCGGCCTCGGGGAAGCAGGTGGACCTGGTGTCGGCCTCCGTGGTGGTGGTGGGAGTGATCGCCGGGCTCCTGCTCTGCCTCCTGGTGGTGGTGGTGGTGCTGATGTCACGATACCATCGGCGCAAGGCCCAGCAGATGACCCAGAAGTAGTGAGTACTGGCCGCTCCTGGGGACAGAAGAGGCCGGCAGCGGTGGGGGGACCGAGGAGAGGAAGTGGGGGTGGGCTTCTGGGGCTCGGGGTCTGGGCCACGGCTGGATGTGGAGGACCTCACTGCCTGTGTGAGGGTTGGATCCACATGCCCAGGTGTCACCACGCACATGCACACGCATGCGCCACAGCCGTCAGGCACACTTGTAGGGACAGCACATCACCAGGGCCCGTCTCCCAGAGGCCGGCTGGGGCTCCCTGTGGAGGCCGCCCTGTCCCCTCCTGACAAAGGGGTGTCCTTCCCAGTGAGGAGGAGCTGACCCTGACCAGGGAGAACTCCATCCGCAGGCTGCATTCCCACCACTCGGACCCCAGGAGCCAGGTGGGTGCCCCTCTGCCCAGGAGCACAGTCCTCCGTCCGGCTGGCCACTGACTCACAGCTGGGCTGGGCTGGGCCCCGGGGTCATGGCTGCTCCGTCCCTGGGTGCTCCCGTCCCCCAGGTCCTTGGGAAGCCCGCCAGCAGGGATCCTGGGAGGTGGCGGCGGCACGAGGGTGTGGCATCAGGAGAGACTGGGCTGTGGGCTGGGGGAGTGGTGGTCAGGGAGGAGCTGGTGGAAGACAGGTGGAGGCGAGCCCTGGCCTGACTGCTCCCGTGTCTGGGCCCTGCAGCCGGAGGAGAGTGTAGGGCTGAGAGCCGAGGGCCACCCTGATAGTCTCAAGGACAACAGTAGCTGCTCTGTGATGGTGAGCCCGGCCCCCCCCGCGTCCCCACCACTCTCCTCAGGCTCCTGTCCTGTTCCCAGGGCAGGTCATGGCCCCTCCCTGCTCCTCAGCCTGGCTCAGGCAGCCCTACCCTGCCCCCTGCTCCACCTTCGGCTGCATTTCCGTCCCCACCCCCTGCACTTGCTCCCAGCTTCTCCCTCATGCCCAGTGACTCTGAGACAGCCATGACCCCTGACCCCTGTTTATACTTGGCCTACAACACACCTTGCCCCTGCCCCACTAGGGTATAGCTGCCCTGTCTTGGTTCCTGACATGCCCTCTGCCCTTGGCCTCCAGAGTGAAGAGCCCGAAGGCCGCAGCTACTCCACGCTGACCACTGTGCGGGAGATCGAGACCCAGACGGAGCTGCTGGCGCCCAGTCCCGGCTGCGAGCGGGCAGCAGGGGAGGACTGCGACGAGGGCATCAAGCAGGCCATGAGCCACTTCGTGCAGGAGAACGGGACGCTGCGGGCCAAGCCCACAGGCAACGGCATCTACATCAACGGGCGGGGCCACCTGGTCTGACCCAGGCCCACCTCCCACCGCCCAGCGCCTGCTCCCTCTGCTGACCGAGGACTTCAGCTCATCTCATCCCTCAACCCCCGACTGTTCCCCTTTTCCTCCAGCCCTGTGTCTGATACCCAGATGGCTGGATAGGTTGAGTCCTTGCTGTGTGTGCAGGTCAGTGTGTGTGTGTGTGTGTGTGTGTGTGTGTGTGTGTGTGCACGCGCGCATGCCTGTGCTGTGTGTCACACCATCTGTCAGGATTCAGTGCCCGGTGCTGCTGTGTCCAGTTCCCCGGGCAGCTGCATGGAGTTGTGTGCCTGCATGCATTCCACCTGCAAACACAGGTGTTTTCTCAGACCCCAAAGCAGTATTATAATAATGCAGAGGCTGGAGGCTGCGGGCACTTCCACGTGTGCGGGCACAGCTGGAGCTGGGATCTGACTCCTGGTCAGAGGGGGCTCCCAGCCCCGGAGGTCCTCAGAGGCTCCAGCTGGCACAGGAAGCCCTCTGCCCTCTAGTGGCTGGGCCTGCTGCTCGCACGTGTTTCTTTAAGGACCAGCCTGTGAGTCCCAGAGTAAGAGGAAGACTGGAAACAAGCTTTCACTCACACGACATTCTCCTTCCCCGAAGGGAGGCCTCAGCACAGACCGCCCGGGATAGCCAGGGGCCTCTGGGGGAGCCTGGAGCCAGTGGGTGTGCAGGTGGGAGTGGCCGTGGCCCTGGAGGCAGGGTCGGCCCTCTGTCCCCTGAGCCACTCTGCTTTCTTCCTTGTGGTTCAGTGGCCTGTGGGCCTGGGGGGCTGTTGGGACTTGGTGATGAGGGTTCCTGTTCAGTTGTTGTTGGGGATAGAGGGTGGGGGTTCAGGGGATGCAAAGGGGCTGCTGGGGGCCTGACTGGCTCCTTCCCCTGGGGTCCTGGGGCCACCACCTCGGCTTTTCTGGTCCCTTTCTGCTGGATCCACTCACACACGCAACCAGAGCACCCAGGGGACGGAGCAGCCATGAGCCCCAGGCTCAGCCCAGCCACCACTCAGGCCTGCAATGCGGGCTCCTGGTCACAGGAGAGACTGGCCCTGCTCCCCGCCAGCCCAGAACTTTGGATCTGGGACCCTAGTGTGTACATTCTATGTAAATATGTTCATATTTGTACATAAATAAACATGATACCTGTTTGTCTTGTTCCTGTCTTGCCCCCCACCCCCGCCCCAGGTGTGTAAGCCTGGACCCTGCTGTCCCTCAGCCTGCCCTGTGGGACCGGGGCAGCAGGGCTGCGGTTGGCAGCACAGACAGAGGAGCCAGACCGCAGAGGAGTTCCCCAGAGGCTCGAGCTGGGAGGGCTTCAGGTCCCCGTGCGAAGGGCCGCAGGCAGGCCTGGCCCTCCCTCCTGCGTGTGCTGGGCACCGCTCCTCGCTGCCTCAAGGGGGCCGGCCTCGGGTCTCTACCTGGGACCCAGCATCCTTGGCTCTAAGTGCCAGCCACCTGCTCACGCCCCGGCCGCACACACACCCAGGGCTCTGACATCACCTCCCGCGACCAATGGGCCAGGCCCAGCAACGTGTGAGGATGTGAGTGTCAGCTACCTCCCCCACCCCGCCTGTGGTTGCAAAGATGCTCTAACAGGAAGCGGGTTTGGGGCGCTGCGCTGCTTCCTGCCCTCCCAGGGCCGAGCAGGCTGGAGGGCGAGTGCCAGGTCGGCCACGAGACAGTTTTGTGTCAGGGTCCCGGCAGCTTCCTCTTCCCCGCCACTTCCTCGGCCAGAGCCCCAGGCAGGAGCTGCTGCCGTTGCCCAGGCCACCCTCCACCCCCAATTCCGAGCCCTGCCCCGGCCAGGGCCACGCCCGCAGGCTGGCTAGGACTTTTGTGGGGAACCCATAGGCCAAAGGTTTTGGGGGACGGCGGTGGCTGGGCCAGAGGCCTGGGCTGCAGCCATGAAGTCTCGGCAGAAAGGCAAGAAGAAGGGCGGCTCGAAGGAGCGGGTGTTCGGGTGTGACCTGCAGGACCACCTGCGGCTCTCGGGCCAGGAGGGTAAGGCGGGGCGCGGCCGCAGCGGGAAGAGGTGCGCGCCGGGAGGGGCTGGGTGCCCCCAGAAGGCGAGGGGCCGGCGAGGCAGGAAGCTTCGTGAAGAAGGCAGGGCCTCCAGGGGCAATGGCGGGTCCTTGGGTCTGAATGGAGGGATGGACGAGGGCTGGGAGAGTCCAAGGAGGCACTCGGGTGGGTCCTGGTGAGGAGAGGGCCCTCCCAGCCTGGCTGGGCCCCAGCGAGGTTCCCGGGGGGAAAGCCCCCATTCTCTGGGGTCCTCCTGGTCCCTTTGTGCAAAGGGGAGGGCAGGGGAGGCCGTGGACATGGGGAGGCCAGAGAACAAGGCAGCTTGGGGCCTGGTCTGAAGACGGGGTGAAGGGCAGAGGAGGGGGTGGGGACTGTCCCAGAGCTTGGCAGCCGCCTCTCCCTGAGGGCCTCGGGGGCCTGGGGACTGCAGGACGGGGACAGCGGCTCCTCTGCTCCCAGGAGCAGCTGCATTTCTCAGTGTGATTGGAATGGAGCAGGAGTCCCGGCTGCCCGCCCGCCCGCCCGCCCGCCCTGTTTTTGGCAGGTCCAGCTCCGCCCAGGGAAGGCCCCCCCAATCTGTCGTTTCCTCTTTGCCCTTCTCTGCTCGGTGCTGTGGCCCCTGCAGTGCAGGGAGGGCCCTGGTTCCTCTGGCTTCCTGCTCAGGGCCCGCCCACGTCCCAGACACCTTCTTCCCCTTTTCTCCCGGAGGCCTCGTCCCCAGCGCCGCCTGGGTGCCGCGGGGCCCACGGAGGAGGCAGAGCAGCGGCAGCCGCCTGGGCCTCTCTCCCCGGCGGGCTGCCAGGGCACGGCCAGCCCTCGGGCAGGGTTTGTCTGGAGGAGGCTCTGGGCCCAGGGCCCGCGACGGGCTGGCCATCCTCCCCCGGTTCTCTGCAAGCCCAGTGCTGCCACCTCCTGGCGCCACCCTCCCCCTCCCCCACAGCGAACACCGCCCCCTCCAGCACAGGCCCCAGGCCGGCCTCTGTCTGCGTTGTCAGCGGGTAGGAGCCTGTCCCCCGGAAGGACAACATCTGGGTGCTGGGTCGGATCTCGGCGCCTCCGGAGGGTGAGGGGAGGCCCCGCCCCGCAGGACCCCCTGAGCCCTCGGGAGGCGCCATTCGGCACCAGAGTGGCCGCGAGGCTGGGCCAGGCCTGGCACAGAGAGTGGGAGTGAGGGGGAGACACCTGGTGAGGGCTGCTCCAGCCCAAGACCCCACAGAAAGGAAGCCCCCGTGGGGCCGGCACTGCTCCTTTCCCCAGTGACACTCGCTCGGCCTCTCCGCCATCCCTCCCGCCATCCCTCCGCCATCCCTCCTGCCACCTGTCCCATCCAACTGCTCCACTGCTCCCAGCTGTTTGCTCCTGGGTCTCCCTTCCCAGCCCTCCGTTTACCCAGCTTTCTTTTACATTTTCACTGATTTTAGAGAGAGAGGAAGGAGAGGGAAAAAGTAGAAACAGATCTGCTGCCTCCTGCACACCCCCAACTGGGGATCGGGGATGGAGCCTGCAACCCGGACATGTGCCCTGACTGGGAATTGAACTGTGACCTCCTGGTTCATGGGTTGACAGTCAACCGCTGAGCCACACAGTGGGCCCCATCTCCATCTCTGACACCTCACTCAGCTTCTGATGCTCCAGCCTCCTCCATGCCTGTCCCTCCCTTCTCCTGGATTTGTGCCTCTGACCCCATCTCTTTGGCCTCTGCCTCCTCACCCCCTCCATCTGTCCAACCCTGACCTCTCTTCCCCCTCCTCCTTGACCCATTTCCTCAGCGGCTCTGACTCCCAGACTCCCACATGCCTTCCCACAGGGCCTCTGGCACGCACAGTGGACAGAGGACGGGGGTGGGGGGTGGGGGCGTCTGTCTGTTGGCCGTGGCTCCTGAGACACAGTCCCTGGGTGTGGGGCGGCCACCGATGCTGGTGCCGCATCAGGAATCGCCCGTCACTGCGCTCAGTGAGGGCCGTTGCCCTGGCACAGGTGCAGGGGGGGAGGGGTTGGGAGCGGGCACAGGTGCAGGGGGGGAGATGTTGGGAGCGGGCACAAGTGTGGGGGGGTTGGGAGTGGGCACAGGTATGGGGAAGAGGGTTGGGAGTGGGCACAGGTGTGTGGGGGGTTGGGAGCGGGCACAGGTGTGGGGGGTTGGGAGTGGGCACAGGTGGGGGGGTTGGGAGTGGGCACAGGTGTGTGGGGGGTTGGGAGCGGGCACAGGTGTGGGGGACGGAGTTGGGAGCGGGCAGAGCCAGGAGGGTGGGGGCGGGCACAGGTGTGTGGGGGGTTGGGAGCGGGCACAGGTGGGGGGGTTGGGAGTGGGCACAGGTGTGTGGGGGGTTGGGAGCGGGCACAGGTGTGGGGGGTTGGGAGTGGGCACAGGTGTGTGGGGGGTTGGGAGTGGGCACAGTGCGGGGGGGGGTTGGAAGCGGGCACAATTGCGGGGGACGGAGTTGGGAGCGGGCAGAGCCAGGAGGGTGGGGGCGGGCACAGGTGTGGGTGAGGTTGGGAGCGGGCACAGGTGTGGGGGGGTTGGGAGCGGGCACAGGTGTGGGTGAGGTTGGGAGCGGGCACAGGTGTGGGTGAGGTTGGAAGCGGGCACAGGTGTGGGGGGGTTGGGAGCAGGCACAGTGGGGGGGGGTTGGGAGCGGGCACAGTTGCGGGGGACGGAGTTGGGAGTGGGCAGAGCCAGGAGGGTGGGGGCGGGCACAGGCGTGGGGGGGTTGGGAGCGGGCACAGTTGCGGGGGACGGAGTTGGGAGTGGGCAGAGCCAGGAGGGTGGGGGCGGGCACAGGTGTGGGGGGGTTGGGAGTGGGCACAGGTGCGGGGGGGGGGTTGGGAACAGGCAGAGCCAGGAGGGTGGGGGCGGGCACAGGTGTGGGGGGGGTTGGGAGTGGGCACAGGCGTGGGGGGGTTGGGAGCGGGCACAGTTGCGGGGGACGGAGTTGGGAGTGGGCAGAGCCAGGAGGGTGGGGGCGGGCACAGGTGTGGGGGGGTTGGGAGCGGGCACAGGTGTGGGGGGGGTTGGGAGCAGGCACAGTGGGGGGGGTTGGAAGCGGGCACAGTTGCGGGGGACAGAGTTGGGAGTGGGCAGAGCCAGGAGGGTGGGGGCGGGCACAGGTGTGGGGGGGGTTGGGAGTGGGCACAGGTGCGGGGGGGGGGTTGGGAACAGGCAGAGCCAGGAGGGCGGGGGCGGGCACAGGTGTGGGGGGGGTTGGGAGCGGGCACAGGTGTGGGGGGGTTGGGAACAGGCAGAGCCAGGAGGGTGGGGGCGGGCACAGGTGTGGGTGAGGTTGGGAGCGGGCACAGTTGCGGGGGACAGAGTTGGGAGTGGGCAGAGCCAGGAGGGTGGGAGCGGGCACAGGTGTGGGGGGGTTGGGAGCGGGCACAGTTGCGGGGGACGGAGTTGGGAGTGGGCAGAGCCAGGAGGGTGGGGGCGGGCACAGGTGTGGGGGGGGTTGGGAGTGGGCACAGGTGCGGGGGGGGGTTGGGAACAGGCAGAGCCAGGAGGGCGGGGGCGGGCGAGGCCTCTGAGCTCCGCTCTCCTGGCCATGCAGCAGCGCTGGCACTGCCACACGCACCGCACAGGCCGCCTCGCCCGCCTGCTCCTGGCCTGGCTGCGGGGCCGCGGCCATGGTGCGGACACCAGGGCTTTACAATGGTGCGCAGTGGGTTTTGAGCTCCTTCCTTGTGTGCTACTCACTCACCTGCACAAAGAGCTGCTGGCCGACCTCCGAAGCACAGTTAGAGAAGAGCAGGGACTGAGGGGCGAGCGGTGGGACCGGAGAGGAAGGCTTCTCAGCCCCATGTGGGGGCGGCCTGGGCAGCCTGGGGTTGCGTGGGGCACAAGGTCGGGCTCCTGAAGCCCCGAAGGAGGGACAGGGCGAGGCAGCTAATGCACTCAGTGCCCAGCACCGATGATCACAGCTGAGCGTCAATGAGCATGTACTGAGCATGTGCCATGTATCCACCCTGTGCTGTCTGGGGGGTGACTGCTGTCCAAAGGGACAGACCAGGATGGGCCTCGCAGGCATGGTACGTGCGCAGGCCGGCGTGGGCGCAGGGAGCCGGCTGGCGCTGGAGGCAGGGTTGGAGGTGGCTGGAGAGCGGAGTTCACAGGCAGAGCCAGAGGGGAGGGCGTTTCCAGGAGAGGGAGTAACATGGTGGAACAAGAAAGGACATGGTCCCGAGCCTGTTCTGAGCGCAGCCACGGGCTGGTCAGGGGCCTGACGGAAGCCTGCTGGCGCTGAGGCTGAGGTGGCAGCTGGACCCGATTGTGAGGGTCTTACCTGTCACCTGAATAGTTTATATTTCATTCCGTGTCTGTCAGGTGAGCAATGTGTTACGCCCAAACTTCGTGATCCCCAAGGACCACCAGGGAGCCGAGTCCGATGCAGTAAACAAAAGCGCCTCTTCCATGCTAGCATGGGCTCTGTCCCACTCTCGCCGACAGCATGGTGGAAGAGCGCGAATTTCACCAAGCCCGGGTTCTACTCCGGTGGTGATGTCGCTGCTTTGGCTGACCCCGATTGGTTGGGTGAGGGCTAGGGTCGTTACACAAAATGGAGGATAGCTCTGCCCTGCCTCACAGTGGAGTCCAGAGTTTATCCTCGCCCCACCCTGCCCTCTCACAGTGAAGACTGGGGTGGAGCAGGATGTGTCTATAACAAAGGATTTGAAGCAGGGAATTGTGGGGTTTTGAGGGTTTCCCATGTGGGAGACACAGGTCACGTAACAGGAGGAATAGCAAGGTGGGTCCCCGGAGCGGTTGTCCTTAGGAAGCTTCGGTCACAGGGGCTTGAAGCATGGCCGCTCTTGGAGCTCACGGAGTTCAGTCCTGGCTCTCCCTGGGCAATACTGGGTACTCACTAGTCCTTCGATCCTCAGCTTTCCTATCTGTAAAATGGGGACTAGCTCCACAGTGCGTGCATACAGGAGCTTCTCTCCTGCACTGACAGGTTTGAAGGCCTGTCACTGTTGTGTGCCTTCCTGCGACAGCGGTGATATCCCAGCAGCCCTGTCCCATGTGGTTGGGACGCAGAGTATAGGCTGGCCTTGGAAGATTTATAGCTCACTTTCAAACAGATTGCTAACCCTTTAGAAGTCTAGAGTAGCAAGCAGTCATTGCAGAGAGAGAAACTTCAGTTCCATAAAGTCAGAACTTCCCCATAGGAGCGGCTCCCCCTGGGTTACACTGAGGCTCTGCCCCTGGGCAGACAGGTGGGGGAGGGTGGGGCAGTTGGGGGAGAATCTTCTTGACAAGTCTTATTCCATGGGCACTGCCCTGGGCTGCCCGCCCTCCCAGAGGCTGCCCTCTGACCTGCGACGGCTTCTGTGTCTGCCCTGCGCCCAGTGCCCCAGGTGCTGAGGAGCTGCGCGGAGTTCGTGGAGGAGTACGGCGTGGTGGACGGCATCTACCGCCTCTCGGGGGTCTCCTCCAACATCCAGAAGCTCCGGTGAGTCAGGCCTGGGGGCGGAGGACACAGACCAGGCCCCGCGTCAGGGAGAGGCTCCAGGAGAGCCTGCGTAGGAGAGGCTGAGACCACGCGCTCCCTGGCCTGGCTAGCATGTGCACAGACTCACACTCTCTCACATGCACACTGAGCGTTGTGGTTTTTAAAATATATTTTTATTGATGTCAGAGGGGAAGGGAGAGGGAGAGAGATGCAAACATCCATGATTGGAGAATCACCGATCGGCTGCCTCCTGCACGTCCCCACTGGGGACGGAGCCCTTGCCCTGGGCATGTGCCCTGCCTGGGGATCCAACCGCATCCTCCTGGTTCATACACTGGCTTGGATATATCTACATTAAAAACAAAACAAAAAACAACTCAGTGGTGCCTGGCCACTGTGGCTCAAGGGGTTGAGCATTGACCTATGAAGCAGGAGATCACAGTAAGATTCCTGGTCAGGGCACATGGCTGGGTTGCAGGGTTGCTGGCTTGTTTCCCAGGAGGCAGCCAATCAACAATTCTCTCTCATTGATGTTTCTCTCTCTCCCTCTCCCTTCCTCTGTGAAATCAATTAAAAATATTTTTTAAAACATTGGTATAATTCCTTTACCATTGCCGAAACCGGTTTGGCTCAGTGGTAGAGCGTCGGTCTGCGGACTGAAAGGTTCCAGGTTCAATTCCAGTCAAGGGCATGTACCTTGGTTGCTAGCACATCCCCAGTAGGGGGTGTGCAAGAGGCAGCTGGTCGATGTTTCTCTCTCATCGACGTTTCTGGCTCTCTATCTCTCTCCCTTCCTCTCTGTAAAAAATCAATAAAATATATTAAAAAAAGAAAAAAAAGAATAAAATCCCTAGGGATAAATTAAAAAAAAAATTCTCGTACCATAAAATTCACCACATAAAGATTCACATTTAAGCTCTAGCTGGTTTGGCTCAATGGATAGAGTGTAGGCCTATGGACTGAAGGGTCCTGGGTTCGATTCTGGCACATGCCTGGCTTGCGGGCTCAATCCCCAGTGGGGGGCATGAAGGAGGCAGCTAATCAATGATCCTCTCTCATCATTGATGTGTCTATCTGTCTCTACCTTCCTCTCTGAGATCAATAAGAACACATATTACAAAAATAAAAGGAAGATGCCCATTTCAGTGGTTGTTACCTGCTCACAGGCTGCGAGCCGTCACTCTCAGTTCAGAGCATCTTCTCTCACTCCACGGCACAGCACTGCCACTGTCTGAACGGGTTTTCCTATTTGGCCCATTTCACAGAAATGGATCATATAATTGTGAATGTTTGTGTGTGTGTTTTTCACTTGGCCTGTTTTCAAAGTCCATGTGTGTTGTTGCATGTACTGGCACTTCATTCCCTTTTATGGCTGAATGACATTCTGTGGTGTGGCTCGACTACACGGAGTTTATTCCCTCATCAGTTAATGGCTCTTTGGGCTGTTTCTGCCTACTGGCTGTTAGGATAACGGTGCAGAGACACTCATGTACATATGTACGTTGACATATGCGTGCAGTTCCTGTGTGTGCATACAGGTGTGGGATTGTGGGTCATGTGGAAAGTCTATGTTGAACTTTTAAAGGAGCCACCAAACTGTTCCCACAGTAGCTGCATCGTTTCACATTCCCAGGAGGGTCCCCAGTGCCCGCCGTCACCCTGTCCGGCGCCGCCTCAATGGCTGTGATTGCATTTCATCTGCGCTAGCATCTCTGACAGCTGGTGACGTGGCACCTCTTGTGTCTTCTCTGAGAAATGTCTGTTCAAGGCTTCTGTCCATGTTAAGTTGGTTTGTCTCTTTTGAATTGAAAGAGTTCTTTATATTCTAGACACTCATTCAATGTCAGACACTCCTTCAGTCTGACTTGCAAGCCCCATCCTGTGGCTTCGTCCCCTCTCGGCAGTGCCCTTTGATGAGCACTAGTTTGTAATCTTTTTTAAAATACTCATCCAAGAAATGAGGATATTTTTTTCTATCATTTTTAGAGTGGAAGGGTGGGGATGGGGCAGAGAGAGAGGAGAGAGAGAAACATCAACGTGAGAGAGACACATTGATGTGAAAGAGATGTGGATTGGTTGCCTCCTACACGCACCTTGACTGGGGGCGGGGGAGGGAGGGCGGGCAAGGATTGAACCTGCCACCCAGGTACATGCCCTTGACTGGGAATCAAACCTGCGACCCTTTGGCCCAGCCATCATGGCTCAATGGTTGAGCGCTGAACTATGAACCAGGAGGTCATGGTTTGATTCCCAGTGTGAGGCATGCAAGAGGCAGCCGATCAATGACTCTTTTTCATCACTGATGTTTCTTCTCTCTCCCTCTCCCCTCCTCTCTGAAATCAATAAAAACACACTAAAACAACCACCACCACAATAAAACCCGTGGCCCTCTGGTGCCAGGCCCATTCTCTGACCACCGAGCCACACCAACCAGGGCTCAGAAGTGTGCAATTTTGATGTTCAATTTATTTTTCCGTGGGTTGCCTGTGCTTTTGGTGCCATACCCAAGATTATGAAGATTTACACGTACCTTTCTATGTAAGGTTACACTCACCCACCTTTCCATCTCTGTACCCAGATACAGCCAGCCCCATCTCTATTGCTCCCAGCCCCGCCCTTCCCACGTCGCTATGCCTGCAGCCACATCCCCGCTGTGGACCTGTCCACGCCCTGAGCCGCTTATTCTCACAACTGCCCCGTGCGGTGACCGGCACGCCCAGGTCCTCCTTCCAAGTCTCACACACGTTGCCCCTCACCTCTGTCTGAAGCCATCCCTCAGCTCCCCCATTTCTCAGCTGCACTTCTGACCACTCTGCCCCTTCCCCAGGCAGGAGTTTGAGGTGGAGCGGAAGCCAGACCTGCGGCGAGATGTTTACCTCCAAGACATCCACTGCGTGTCCTCACTGTGCAAGGCCTATTTCAGAGAACTGCCCGACCCCCTCCTCACGTACCGCCTCTATGACAAGTTTGCTGTGAGTGAGAGGCTGGATGCCAGAGAGGGCTGAGGGGGGTGTCCTGATTTGTTTATTGAGCAACAGGACCTGGAGACCCTGACAGCAAAGTGTGCCTCGGCCACCCCAGCTAAACCGCCGAGGCTGGGCACCACGGGGGGTTATCCCGGGACCAGGGCCCACAGAGGACTCTGGGCACAGTGGCAATGGGTTGTTCAAGGTCACAAGACTATTAAGAGGCACAGCCAAGATCCCGCTGCAGGTCTGTGGGTCCCGGCTCTGAGCTCTCCCTGCTACCTGTGCATCTGGGCTAGGCTGGCGTGGGCAGCACAGCTGTTTCTCAGTTTGCCTCAGAGCTCTGGCAGGAAGCACAGCAGGCTGGGCCACTGACCCGCTCTGGAACCTTCCTCCATCAGGAGGCAGTGGCGGTGCAGCTGGAACCTGAGCGCTTGATCAAGATCCTAGAGGTGCTTCGAGAACTCCCCACCCCAAACTACAGGTGCACAGGCTCCTCCCCATGCCCATCCCTGCCCGCATCCCCAGTCCTTCCAGGGGCCAGTCCTACACCTGCCTCTGTCCCCTGATCCTGGCCCTGGCCCCTCTGCAGGACCCTGGAGTTCCTCATGCGCCACTTGGTGCACATGGCCTCCCTCAGCGCCCAGACCAACATGCACGCCCGTAACCTGGCCATCGTGTGGGCCCCCAACCTGCTGAGGTGCGTGCTCCTGGGAGCAGCATGGGGACCCGGCAGCGCAGGAGGGGCGGTGCGGGTGGCTGCAGTGGGACTGGTCCCCGAGCCAGTGGAGCACAGAAAGACTCAGCGTTGCCCCGAGTGGGGTGCGGCTCAGCCGGTGGACGCTGCCTCTGAGCTCGCCCAGCCTGGTCCCGCGGGGCTGAGCCATGCCTGCCTCCTGGGCCTGGAGCGCAGCCCGGCCGCGCTCTGCGGGAGGGAGGCTGCCCGGGCAGGCTGCGCCGCGCTCATGACCATGAGCTCAGGCCCTGGTGGGCGCAGAAAGCAGAGAGGAGTTCAGAGGGTGCCTCGGGCTTCCTGGAGGAAGTGGCTTTGAGCTGGAACCCTGTGGGAGGAGGTGGAGATGGGCCGAGGGCGCATAGAGAAGCGTGAGGGACTTTTGGGAAGGATTCAGGTCAGGAGTTCCCGCTCAGCCGTGAGAACCACTCCCCTCCGCTCAGGTCCAAGGACATCGAGGCCTCGGGCTTCAACGGGACAGCAGCCTTCATGGAGGTGCGTGTGCAGTCCATCGTGGTGGAGTTCATCCTCACGCACGTGGACCAGCTCTTTGGGGACACCGCCCTCTCTGGTGAGTGTCCTCCAGCCCAGCATGTCACCGCATCCAGGGAGTCCCGGCAGAGCTGCAGGGCCTCGGAGGTCACTGGGTCAGTCTCCCACTTTGCAGATGAGAAAACTGAGGCTCATGGCAAAGGCCTGGAGTTGCAGGCACAGCCGGTGTGAGCAGACGCTCCTGCTCTCTGCCGGCAGCACGGTCTCTTGCTCACCGCCATTAGCCTGGCTCCAAGACTAGTGGCTACTGCTTCCCCCACAGGCCAGTGTCTTTGTCCCTGGGACTCACTCCCTGCCCTTGAGGAGCTAGACCAGGGCCTCCAGGGCCATCCTAGCCAGGGAGCGGGCAGCTGCGATGGAGCTGGTGCCCGGAGCCCTCACTTCTGTTCTTGGTGGCGACTCCCCTCCCTTCCCAGGTGGGGAGCTGGAGAGTGGATGGCGGTCCCTCCCTGGGCTCCGGGCGTCCAGCAGTCCCGAGGACTTTATGCCCAGGTCGCTGCCCTACCACCTGCCCAGCGTCCTGCAGGCTGGCGATGGCCCCCCGCAGCTCCGGCCCTATCACACCATCATTGAGATCACAGAGCACAAGTAAGACTCCCTCCCGCCCTCCTCCGCCCGGCCGCCAGGCCATCCCTGACCTCTCCACTCCCTCCAGGAGGAAGGGCTCTTTGAAGGTCAGGAAGTGGAGATCAATCTTCAATCTGGGTCGCTCTGGCCATGAGACCAAGAGGAAATTCCCACGGGGGGCTGAGGACAGGGGTAAGTTTGGGGTGAGGTAGGGGGCCTTCTGGTGTGGGAGTGCCCGGCCTAGGCCCTACACACTCTGTCTTGCAGAGGACAAATCTGACAAGGGGACCCTGCGGCCAGCCAAGAGCATGGACTCCCTGAGCGCCGTGGCCGGGGCCGGGGCCGGTGAGTGCCCGCGTGCCGTGGGTGCGGGCTGTGGGGCTGCATGGGCCTTGGCATCTGCGTGTGGAACCACCTCTGTGAGGGTGACAGTGTTATGAACAAGACCATCGTGTGCACTTGTGCGCATGTACTCCCTCATTTCACAAACAGCTACTATTGCTGCACCACCAAACGCAGTATTACATGCCAGCCACGACGCTGGCTGCCTGGCTTACAGCAGTTTCCTAATCCAGGGTGTGTTCACAGGAGCACAAGCAGACGCTGTGCGACCTATGACCTATGACCTCTGGGTGTGGGCGTGCGGTTGTGTCGGGGGAAGCGGGCGGTGCCTGTGGGCTGTCCTCCGAGGCTGTGGGATGAGGAGGCGCTGTGCGGGGCCAGTGCTGAGGCTGGTGCCCTCTCCGCAGAGGCAGAGGCAGAGGCAGAGGCAGAGGCAGAAGCAGAGGCAGAGGCACTGCGGGCCCCCAGCAGCCCCCGGGCGCCTGAGAGCTTGGAGGATGACCCTGCAGAGGCAGCAGGTGAACCGGAGCCCGAGGCAGGGGCCCCGGGCAGCACCAGCTCCGAGCCAGGAACACCACGCGCCGGGCGGTCAGCGGTCCGTGCTGGGGGCGGCAGCCGGGCCGAGCGCTGTGCCGGCGTCCACATCTCAGACCCGTACAACGTCAACCTCCCGCTGCACATCACCTCCATCCTCAGCGTGCCTCCCAACATCATCTCCAACGTCTCCTTGACCAGGCTCACCCGAGGCCTTGAGTGCCCTGCCCTGCAGCCCCGGCCGAGCCCCGCCTCTGGCCCCTGCCCGGGCCCTGGGCCTCCAGGTGAGGACAGGGGACCGGGAGTGGGGGCTAGGCCCTGCAGCTGGAGGTCTGATGCTGGGGCGGTGGGGGGGGAAGGCCTCATAGGCCTTGGTCTTTGGGTGGTCGCCTTCACCTGCCCTCGGTTCAAGGTGGGGGGAATCCAGTCCTTCATATGAAACCTATGGCGAGAGGGTCTCTCCTCCACCCAAGGGTAGGGTTGTGGTGGGACACAGGCAGGGTCACTAAGGACAAAAAGCACTGAGTCATAGCGTTAGTGCTGACGGACGGCTAACTCTACTGACGACCATTCTGTGCCAAATGCCACGTGAAGGGCGTGTGGCGCCGGTGGCCAGGCCTGCTGGCTCCGCGTGGTGCAGCGGCTGCTTCAGGGCAGCGGAGGGGGGGTCTGAGCTTTGCTCTGAGCTCATTCTGTGTCCGGCAGGGGCGAAGGCCATGGCTGTGGAGTCTGTGTGGGACCAATGTCTGCCACCCAGTGGTCTGGGCAGCCTGTTCCATCTCTGAGTCTCAGTTCCCTCACGTGTAACATGGAGACCACACCCTTGTGTGGCCATGTGCTTTGCAGGGAAACAGACGAGGTGCATGTGCTTGGCACCTGGGAGGCGCCCAATGCAAGCGGCTCTGAGCTGATGGGTTGGAACACTGGTCTGAGGGTCAGCATTCCAACCCATCAGGGCTGGGGGCCTACAGCAGTGCTGGAAAGGCCACCCTGGAGGGGTCTGGGCTGGTCTTGACCTTTGTGTTCCTGGGGCCACCTCTTCCAACAGAGAAGTCCGAGGCGAGTTCAGCCCCAGGCCCCCTGGCCGACTCCGGCCCAGCAGCCTTGGTCGCTGCCCTAGAGGACTGCCTGTCCCAAGAGGTGCAAGATTCCTTCTCCTTCCTGGAGGACTCCAGCAGCTCAGAGCCTGAGTGGGTAGGGGTGGAGGACGGGGAGGCGGCCGCGGCAGGAGCAGGAGCAGCAGCAGCCTTCTCTCCTGGGGAGGACGACCCTGGGATGGGCTATCTGGAGGAGCTGCTGGGAGCTGGGCCTCAGGTAAGGAGGAGCCTGTTGGGTTGGGTAGTGAGGACTCCTGAGGAAAGACAGGACCCGGGTCCTCAGCCACTGCTGTGTCCACAGGTGGAGGAGTTTTCCGTGGAGCCGCCCCTGGATGACCTGTCTCTGGAGGAGGCGCAGTTTGTCCTGGCTCCCACCTGCTGTTCCCCGGACTCCATGGGGCCGGGGCCTGAGGCAGAGGACAATGGGGAAGAAGTCTTCCTGAGTGCCTATGATGACCTAAGTCCTCTTCTGGGGCCCAAACCCCTGGCCTGGGAGGGTCCGGGACAGGCTGAGGGGGTGCAGGCATGCTGGGAAGTGGAGGAGGACAAGGAGATGGAGCCTGGCAGCAGATGGGACGTCAGGGAGGAGGCTGAGGGAAGTCCAGAGAACAAGATGGAGGCTGGAGAGGCAGGTGAAGAAGGCGGGGAAGCGGAGGTGAGCCAAGAGCTGACGGTCAGTTTGAGGGAAGGAAGTGGGGAGGAGACAGAGGCCAAGGAAGGTAAGAGCATGGAGGAAGCTGAGGGTGTGGAGCAAACAGGAGGGCCAGGTAAAGACGAGAAGAAAGTAAAGCCTGAAAGACGGGGAGAGGCTGAGGAAGGAGAGGGCGCCCAGGTGGACTCTGGAAGGGACCCAGAGCAGGGGGCCCAGGAAGTGCAAGCTGCTGGGGAGAGCTGGGATGCTGTCCACACCCAAGCGGCTGGGGAAGGCGGAGAGGGTGAGGATCATGTCAAAGGGCAGAGGGAGAACAGAGACCAGGATGGCAGAGAAGACCAAGGGGATGGTGAAGACAGCGCAGAAGCAGCCCAAGGAGCAGCAGAGGCCAGCAGGGAGCGGGAGAGCGGGGATGGAGAGGCGGAGGGAGCGCAGGGGGCTGGAGACCATCAAGAAGGGGGCTTCCTCCTTGGAGGGTCGCATGTAGTGTCCCTAGAGGCTGATGATGCCAAAGAGGGCAGTGCCCAGGCCTCTGAGACCCAACAGGCAGCCCTGCAGCCCCCCCGGCCAGAGGAGATGGAGCCTGAGGGGCAGCCCAGTCCAGAGGGCTGCCATCTGTGCCCCTGTCCCCTCAGCTTGGCTGGCAGCGTGGGCATGCGCCTGGCCTCCACCCAGGTTCAGGTCCAACAGGTCCGCTCTGTGCCGGTGGTGCCCCCTAAGCCACAATTTGCCAAGATGCCCAGTGTAATGTGTAGCAAGATCCACGTGGCACCGGCAAACCCCTGCCCAAGGCCTGGTCGGCTGGATGGGACTCCTGGGGAAAGGGCTCGGGGTTCTGAAGCCTCTCGGTCCTCTTGGAGGAACGGAGGCAGTCTTTCCTTTGATGCTGCTGTGGCCCTGGCCAGGGACCGCCAGCGAACTGAGGCGCTGGGGGTGTGGCGGACCCAGACCTGTGCCGGGAGTGAGGACTTCAGCCTCATGCCCAGAACCTCTCCCTGTAGCATGCTCCCTGCCCTTTCCCCTCGGCCCCTCAGCTGCCTAGAGCTCCCACCTGAAGGCACAGAAGGGCCTGAATCCCGGAGCCGGAGCCGGTTTAGTCTACCCCCCAGAGAGCCCCAGCCTCCTCAGCCCCTCTTGCCCCCACAGCGCCGATCATATGCATTTGAAACGCAGGCGGACCCTGGCAGAGGTGAGGGTCTATGATTAGGACCAGAGCTCGGGCACAGGGGACAGGAAGTTGTCTTCAGCCTCTGGGGTCCCTGCCTAGCTGTCTCCTGCAGCCTGAGCAGCCGGGCCCCCTCTTTAGGCTTTGGCCCTCCAACTTCTCTGACCGGGGAAGGCAGTCTGTCTGGTTGGTTTACCTAAACTTGTCTCAGGCACAAGCACCTGCCCCTGAGGAGACTCCGAGGAGGCCCTGAGCCTGGTCCTAGGCCTAGGGGGTGAGGTCACTGCCCAAGGCAGGCAGGCACCCAGAGGCTCGCCTGGGGAGTGAAGACCGGAGGCGGGGCCAGGGCAGAGGCTGCTCGCGAGCATTCCCGGGCTGTCCGGTTCCGGTTCCGTTCTCCGGCCCGAGGCCCGCTCTGCCCGGGTCAGGACAGGCCCGGAGGCTTTGGAGACCGTGTCCGGGAAGGTCTGGCTCCTCCAGCTCCCCGCGTCGGCTTCCGTCGCCTTAAGGAACAGCGTCTCCTCCAGACTCTTCCTGCCTCGGATCTTCCGGGAGGGATGGCGCCCGCGACGGGTCCCCTCCGCGGGCCGAGCTTGGAATAAAGCATGTCTCACCGGCGGCGCGGTCTCGTTATTGGCTGGAGCTTGGGAGGCAGGGCGCGCCTCCCCGTTTGGCCGGCCGGCCTGTGTCTGTTGGCGCTCAGGCCTGGTTCCGGCACCGCGCGGAGCCGGAGCTGGGCAGGCGGAGCGAAGAGAAGCTGACATTTGCGTCAGCGCCGGGGCCCCGCGTTCCCGGCCGGCTCCGCGAGGCGGGCCCTGCGCTTGCGGCGGGAACCCGCGGCCGCAGGCCCGGTCTGCGCAGCTCCCTCCGCCGACTTCGCGCTCCCCGAGTCCACCGGGGGGCCGACTGCGAAGAGGAGGGTCGGGGTCGCTCTCGGGGAACCGCCTCACACACCGGAAGCCGCGGGTCCCGAGCGAGAGCCGGCGGGCGCCACCTCCGAGGTGTGCAGCGAGGAAGTGCGCCCCAGGCACCGCCCAAAACGCTCCGGGGAGGGCCCTGACGCCAAGTGGCCTTCCCAGCCCTTACCAAAGATGGCGCCGCCGGGCGCCGTCCCTCCCTCCCTCCCGGAACTAAATAGGAAGGCCCGGTCCGTCAGGAAGGGAAAGCGCCCAGGCATTCGGCGCCGCGCTTCTGGGATCTTTCCAGCCTCCTGGAGGCGGCGCGGCGGACAGAGCCGCTCAGAGGCGGGGCGGGGCGGGCCCCGGGGCACTTCCGCCCCGCACCAACATGGCCGCCGCCGGGCGCGCATGCGCAGCCGCCCATGGAGCCCCGAAGACGGAGATCCCTGTCCCCGGGAGTCGGCGTCTGAGGAGGGTGAGTGCAGGACGGGCCGGGGCCGGAGGCGGGCTGCGCCGGCAGGAACGGCAGCCTCGACCGGGCGGGGAGGCGGGAGGAAGCCTCTGCTAGGGGAGGGGCCGCGCCGGCTCTGTCTCCGGCCGCACGTCCCGCCTCCGCGCCGGGCCGAGCGCCGCGCTGTGTCCGCTGCGGGCGCCGCCGCCCGCGCTCCGTCGCCTTCCCTTTGTGCCCTCCGAGCACCGCCCTGCGGCCGCCCCGCCCCGCGGGCCTCCCGCCGAGCGCGCGCGCCGCCGGCCGGGAAATGCTTCCGGACGCCCGGGAGGCGCGGTGACCAGGCCGGGCCCTCGGAGGCCGTCCTCGCCGCTGCGGCGTCGGGCGCTGCCCGCGCGGCCCGGGCGGCAGGTGGGTGGTCCCGGTCGCCGAGCCTCCCCGCGGGGACCGCGGCCTCCGTGCAGCGCAGCCTCCTCCGACGGTTTCGCTTTCAGTTCCCCCTTTGGAGAACACTTTCCTTGGGTCCGGGTTTTCCAAGGCTCGTCGCTGAAGATTTTCCTTGGATGGGAAAGGTTTGGGGGACCCACTGGTAGATCTACCAAAAAGTTCCCCTTTGGCGCCGGGATTACTTCATTGCTTTGCCGTGTGTGTCTGTCTGGAGCCATCTGTCTGTTCCGCGCGCTGTTTCCTGCCCGCCCCCCTTCCCCCCCGTCGAGCCCGCGGCGGGCACCTCGGGGTGTCTCTTCCCTTAAGAGCCCGGCCTGGAGTTGCCCAGCCTCCTTGGATTTGGAGTTGTCTGGCAACATTTTGGCAACGGTGTCGTTCTGTGCTTTGTGGTGGAGAGGATACACTTGTGCTTTTGGGTCTTCAGCAAACATGTCCATCTGGACACCAGAACAAGAGCCTGTCACTGTAACGGGCCTCAAAGGCCAAGTCTGGTGTTTATGGTTGTTTGGGAGGGTTTTCCCAGGCCATGGGCTTCTGGTTTCTCCTTCCTGGATTCCTGGTTCTGAGAACAGAAATTTGTTGGCACTGGGTTCAGCGTGTGGCTGAGCAGTTAGAAGAGGCATCAGCCTCAGTGGTCCTGTGGTTTTATGTTTTTTAAAAATGTTTCTATCGACTTTTTTTTTTTTTTTTTTGGAGGAGAGAAGAATAGAGAAATAGAAACAGCGATGAGAGGAACATCATCAATTGGCTGCCTCCTGCACACCCCCAAATGCGGATCCAGCCTGCAACCTGGGCCTGTGCCCTGAACAGGAATCAACCTGCAACCTTTTGGTCTAGGGTTAGTCAGCCCTGTGGGTTTTGAAGATAGTGTTCTAATCAGTGCTCTTCCTGATCCCCGTGCCATTGCAGATCACAGAGCTGTGATCCTCATCTGTCTCCCTCCGTGTGATTATTCCTCTCCTGCTGGAGGTGAGGGGGCCCATTGCTCAGCATCAGGATAGAGGAAACGGATTGTCCCCTGCAGAAATGGGGTTATGTTCCTGGCTGTGTCTTCATGGAGCCTAAGTTTTAATATGGGGACTGTTCAGTTTCCTAGGGTCACTGCAAACTCCTGATTTCTGCCAGGACTTAACACTCAGGCCAGTGAGGCAGGAGATACAAAGACTTCCGGAGAAGGGCCCGTTCTTTGGATGTGCTGCTCACAGAGAGATGAAGGGGTGAGTGAAGATGAGGTGGGTGTGTGGTGGGTGTGGGATGGGAGAATGTGCTGGCTCTGGAGTCAGGCCGATCCGCTCAGGTCCCATCTCCTGAAGCACTTGTGGCTGTGACTTGGTTTCCTGTCTGTGAAATGCAAGCACTCCTGCCTGCCTCGTAGTGCTGTTCTCAGCTTGGGTGGGTGCTGCCTCCTCAATGCTAGCTCAGTGTCTGTGTCCATCACAAACAGCAAATTCCAGGCTAGCCTAGGGTCTGTTGGGAATGCCAGTGAGCTTTCCATGGACTTCCTCCCTTATCCTAACCCTTGGCCCCTTCACAAACAGGCAGCAGAAAACAGCTGAGACGGAAGAGGGGACAGTGCAGATCCAGGAAGGTGAGTGGTAGAAAGAGAAGTGAGCTGGGACAAGAGCCCATCATGGCCTCTCCCACCCTGTGGGCTGTCTGTGCACCTTTCCTCTGATGGCAGGCGAGTGAAATGGGGAGAAAGGCAACACAGATTCTTCTTGCTCCTTGAATCCAGGTGCTGTGGCAACTGGGGAGGACCCGACCAGTGTGGCTATTGCCAGCATCCAGTCATCTGCCACCTTCCCCGACCCCAACGTCAAGTACGTCTTCCGAGCTGAGAATGGGGGCCAGGTAAAGGAGGGCAGGTGCCGCAGGTACCACCTGGGTGGGCAGAGGGAGGTCATGGAGCCTGTTATGTGGAGACCTGGCTTGGAGGATGAGGTGACGATGTGGACTGTTGGGGGTTGGGTTTGGAAGAGAGGTAGGTATGGAGTAGGGCTACTTTGAAACCTCCATATGGGGATAGACGGGGAGCTGTTGGCTTGTGTCTCTGAAGGCCTCTGGGGGCCTGTCTAGGAGACACTTTGTGAGGGGCCTGGATCCCTAGCGCTTACTCTCTTGTCCTCTCTCCTCCTTCCCCTTCCTCCCTGCTTCTAGGTGATGTACAGGGTGATCCAGGTGTCCGAGGGGCAGCTGGACGGCCAGACCGAGGGGACGGGTGCCATCAGTGGCTACCCTGCCGCTCAGTCCATGACCCAGGTATGGGAGGGGAGGGGCTGGAACTCTTTAGAGGGGGATGAGGCAGGGAAGGGGTGGGGTAGTGAGGCATCTTGCTCCCTGTCCCCAGGCACTCTAGACTCTCCCCACTCCCCTTAGGGTTAGCAGCAGCAGAGAGTTCCCTGGGGAGGGTCTGATGGTCACTGGACTCTGTCCTCTTGGTTTCCTTCAGGCGGTTATCCAGGGTGCGTTCACCAGCGAAGAGGCAGCTGACACAGAGGGGACGGCCGCTGAGACACACTATGCTTATTTCCCTGGCGCTGCTGTGGGCGACGGGGCGGGGACCGCGGCCGGGAGTGCAGCCGCTGTTGTCACTACCCAGGGCTCAGAGGCCCTGCTGGGACAGGCCACCCCTCCTGGCACCGGTGAGATGCTGTGTGAAGCGCGGGCTGCAGGGTAGGGTGGGCAGTGGGACATGCTGGCTCAGCGTGCAGTGGTCCCTGATTGCTAGGCAGCAGGGAATGTGGGACCACCCCTCAGCAGGAGGAAATTTGCCCTTTTTAATTATTTGTTTTGTTTATTGTCTTTCTTTCCTTGTCCTTTTTATGTTTACTTATTTTAAAAATACATTTTTATTGATTTCAGAGAGGAAGGGAGAGGGAGAGAGACAGAAGAGAGAGAAATATCAATGATGAGAGAGAATCATTGATTGGCTGCCACCTGCATGCCCGTCCTGAGAATTGAGCCCAAAACCCAGGCATGTGCCCTGACCTGGAATTAAACTGATCTCATGGTTTATAGATTAACGCTCAACCACTGACCCACACTGGCCGGCAGAAGTTTGCCATTTTTAGAGGAAGGTCTCAGGGCCTTGGCCTCAGAGCTTGCTTAGGTTCTCAGTTCCATGCGCTGACGCCCTACCCGAACCCTCCCAGGTCAGTTCTTCGTGATGATGTCACCACAAGAAGTGCTGCAAGGAGGAAGCCAGCGCTCCATTGCCCCCAGGACCCATCCTTACTCCCCGTGAGTAACCTGTTCCCTTGTTACTACGAGTGCCAGGTCTTGTGTGATTACCTGCCCAAGTGCCAATCTGACTTTTTACCTTCATCACTTGGCTGCCCCGGGCTCCGTGGTCAGGAAGTCAGAAGCTCCCCGGACGACTCGGGATGAGAAACGCAGGGCTCAGCATAATGAAGGTGGGTGCGGCCAGGGCGGTGCTGGGAGCTGTCTGGTGGGATTGGACAGCGGCCGTGTGAGGGGAAAGTCGGGCGCTTCCTGGGCCTGTGGGAGTGTGGGCTGTCACCTTGTCCTCACTGTTCCCGCAGTGGAGCGGCGCCGCCGGGACAAGATCAACAACTGGATCGTGCAGCTGTCCAAGATCATCCCCGACTGCTCCATGGAGAGCACCAAGTCCGGCCAGGTCAGGCCGCGGCGGGCCGGTCCCGGGCTGCACGCAGAGTCGCCTTCTCTTCTGGGGTTCTTGGGGGAAAGTGAGGCGGAGAGAGTGCGCTGCTTTGGGAAGTATCTCCTAGCCCAGCCCGCATTCTGTTGGCTTTCCCTGCAGAGTAAAGGTGGGATTCTCTCCAAAGCCTGTGATTATATCCAGGAGCTGCGGCAGAGCAACCACCGGTTGTCTGAGGAGCTGCAAGGGCTGGACCAGCTGCAGCTGGACAATGAAGTGCTTCGCCAGCAGGTCAGCTTCCTGTCCCAGGGAGCCCTCTTGGACCCCGAAGCCGCTGAGCCCCGTTGGGACCCTGTACTTTCCATAGATAGGCTTTGCCTCCCCTTCACCAGCGGAGGTCGGAGTCAGCGCAGGGACCATTCCCTTTCTGCTCCTGCAGGTGGAGGACCTCAAGAACAAGAACCTGCTGCTGCGCGCCCAGCTGCGGCACCATGGCGTGGAGGTGGTCATCAAGAGCGACAGCAGCTGACGGCTCCCTGCGGCGGAGCGGCAGGAAGTCTGGAGCAGTGGCTCCTGGGCCGTGCCTGCCCTGCCCTGCCCACTTCTGGCACGAGACTGGGAGGCTCAGAGGGTGTGTCAGGCAGCAGCCTGCAGGGTGTGAACACGGAAGCGCACTGGCGGACAGCCCGGTGCACACCCGGTGTCCGTGCTGGATGCTGGACACACCCAGTGGGCCTGCCTGGTGCCTGCTGATGAGACCTGGCTGCCCCGGACCCGGGGCTTTCGCGGTTCCCTCTTTACCCGGAGCTCAGGGGTGCACCTGAGGATGCCAGGGGACAGGCTTCAGTGAGACGTGGGGGAAGGAGCAGTGGCGCTGCCCCAGGAGAAGGTGGGGCAGCAGCTGAGACTTGTGCAGATGTCCAGGGAGAACCACAGGCAGGGCCCACGTGGGCCTTCTCCCTTGTGGGGATGGTTCCCTCTTTTTCTTTTTTTTCCGAGATAAAGTGTTCAGAGCCGCGATCGACTCCCGTCTGTCCTTGGTGGGCCCCAGGGCGGACGAGGAACACACTGCACTTGGACCAGTGTGGCTCGGGCGGGGCCTGGGGTGGGTGCTGCTTGCTCAGGAGTCTGGCGCAGTCTGGGCAGATCCGCGGGTTTCTAGGGCAGGTGCTTGGGGGCGGGGCGGGAGGCGGTGCCTCGCTTCCGGTTCCGGTCTGTTCTCGGAGGGGCGGAGGCGGGCTGGCGGGCGCCTGCCTTGGCCGCAGGGGTCCTGGGGCCGCGTAGTGGCGGGTCGTAGTGCCCTGGACCCGGGAGCGTGCGGGAAGAGGGAGAAGGGGGAGGGCTGTGGGAAGGGGCTCCTCGCGGGGCCGTCCTCAGGCTTCTGATCGCCCCGCCCCCACAGTGCCCAGTCTGGCTCCCGGAGCCCTGCTCGCTGCTGGCCAAGGGCCTGACCAAAGGCCGGGCCGGCTTGTGGATGTGAGGTCTGGGGAGGAAGTGGCCGCGGGAACCATCCCCGGGCGCTCCGCATCCCGGTACAAGATTTGGAGGGGGCCCCCGCCGGTTGCGGACCAGGGGGGTTCTCAGCTAGGAGGAGTGGGAGGCTTAGCACGAGGTCCTGAATTCCCGCCCCGCCCCCAGCCTCCCCGAGAGGTGGAGTCCTGGTGGGGGAGCCGGCCCTCCCAGGTGGGTGACCTGGTGGGAGACGGCTACACCTCCCCAGGCCAGATCCTGGCTGGCTGGGACGTATCTTATCCTCGAGGTTGGGGTGGTGCCACAAGGGGCTCTTTTGGGGTTCCTTGGGGGCCCAGTCCTCCAGGCCCAGCCTCTGAACCTGAGGTTGCCAGCTGCCAGCCCCCCACCCCCTCTGTCCGGACCCCCTTTCAGGGTCTGAGGAGAGGCTGGGCTGGAGCTGCGGCCTCCTTTCTTCTGTCAGAGGGGGGCTGGCAGGCCTCGCTATGGCCCTGGGGCTTGGAGTCAGAGGGTCTGGGGGAGGTGGGGTGTGCTGGGCTATAATTGGGCCTGCCCGGCTGTGCTCCCCCCCTCGTCTCCAGGAGCCTATAGGGAGCGGCTCTGGACAGGAGGCTGGGGAGAAGGTGAGGGAGGGGGTCCGCCTCCGAGCGCCTCTAGGAGGGGCAGCGCATCTGATCTAAGCATTGGACGTATTTAACGTTTCAGTTCGAATCTTCATACCTCAGTGCAGCCCTGGGTCATTCTTCCAGTACTCACCTTCCCCACCCCCTTCTCCCTCACCCCCACCTCCAGCCATTTCCCAAGACCACAGTTTTCTTTCTAGAAAAATTGTTTTCAGTCCATAATGCACATCACAATCACCTAAGAGCTGGGGGGGGGGGGGGGAAGCTTAGGCCCAATCCTAGATTTGGAATCTGGAACCCCCAAGTGGTTCCCCTCTGCAGTCAGGAGAGAACCACTGCTCTGGTTAGAGGTCCCAGCCTGAGCCCCGCCGTGGTGGCGCTCACCTACATCCTGCTGTGGCTGCTTTTGTACAAAAACAGCAGATGTTTGTAACTATGTGTCTTTCAAAACCTAACGTGTTTACTATCTCGTTCTTTCTAGGAGGTTGCCTATCTTTGCTCTAGACCAGCTATTTTCACCCGGTGCCATGAGAATATGCAGTACCTGAGTAGTCAGGGCACTGGCCCCTTTCCCTTAGATTGCCAGATAAAAAGATGACAACAGCCAACACAACAGTAGCTATCTGGTATGAATGAATAAAAATTATACTTTTTTTAAAAATCAGATCGGCAAAAAGTATAATCTGTTTGGTGTGCCGTGGGATCTCACTAGTTGCTGTGTGCCATGAGTTGAAGCTGTTCTAGACCTCCAGGCCCCGGCACAGCAGCAGGGGAGCGGCGGCTGCCCTCCACAGAAGTGCCCAACACATACAGGTGTCAGGGCTCCTTCGATGCCACCAAAAACAGCTCCCAGGTTTATTTGGTGTGTGTGTTTAATCCTCACCAGTGGGTATGTTTATTTATTTTAGAGAGAGGAAGGGAGAAAAAAACAAAACATCAATTGGTTGCCTCCCAAATGTGCCTTGACCAGGGATCCAACCCACAACCCCAGGTATGTGCCCTGACTGGGAATCGAGCCTGAAACCTTTTTGGTGTATGGAACAGCACTCCAACCAATTGGGCCACCCAGCCAGGGTCAGGTCCCACTTTTTATCAATGCTGTTCTCCGATTCCACACTGGATTTAACAAAATTTTACTTGTTAATGGAAATATTTACTGAGGCAAAATTCAACACTATAGGGCAGGTGGATAACTTCCCTCTTGCACGGTGATCATTTGCTGTGTATCTTTTTAAATATATTAATGGAAGAGTTTTGACTTAAGTTTGAAAGGTTTTGATAGAGAGGAAGAGGTAGAGAGAGAAACATCAATTGTGAGAGCCAGACACCGGATCCCGCCTGCAGCCTGGGCATGTGCCCTGACTGAGAACTGGAATGACTCCCACCCACCTGAGCCGCATTGGCCAAGACCCGCTTTACTTCTTTTTTAATATATTGATTCTTACAGAGGAAGGGAGAGGGCTAGAGAGTTAGGAACATCAATCAGAGAAACATTGACCAGCTGCCTTCTGCACACCCCTTACTGGGGATGTGCCTTCAACCAAAGTACATGTCCTTGACCGGAATTGAACCTGGGACCCCTCAGTCCGCAGGCCGATGCTCTATCCACTGAGCCAAACCAGTTAGGGTTCTTATGTTTTACTTCCTAAGTGTTATTCCTTATGGAAGAGGAAGTCGGGTGAGAGATGGACCCGATTCTGGAGAAATTCTTTCAGATCTTGCATTCCTTTCCTTTCTGTCTTCTTCCTTCTGCCCTCCTATCTAATCTTACCACTCACACTGCACACACTGTAAAGTCTTCTGTTCATCCGAGTTCCTGCCACCTCGGCCACAGAGCTGTCCCACTCTAGGTAATCAGCAAAGTACTTCCTGAGCTTAGCTGGACATGGTTAGGTCTGGAGACACAGTTGAAATAGGTGAAAGAGGCCAAAACTGGTTTGGCTCAGTGGATAGAGCATCGACTTGCGGACTGAGGGGTCCCAGGTTCGATTCCGGTCAAGGGCATGTACTTTGGTTGTGGGCATATCTCTGGTGGGGAGTGTGCAAGAGGCAGCTGATCAATGATTCTCATCGGTGTTTCTGGCTCTATATCCCTCTCTCTTCCTCTCTGTAGAAAACCAATAAAATATATTTAAAAAAAAAGAAAAGAAAAGAAATAGATGAAAGAGACCAGCCCGGGTCTGGCAAAGAGGTGTGTTTCTCTTTCTCCAAATAACCAAGTACTTTGGGTTTTCAGACTGGTTAGTGTCCTTGACCAGAATTGAACCCCGATGCCTCACCTCAGTCTGTGGGCCAGCACTCTAACCACTGAGCACTCCGGCCAGGTCTGGTTCATAATATTGATAGGCTTTTCTAACCAATAACCTTACCCTTTGAGTTCTCTCCCTTTCCTTGGAGCCAGCACTGACTGGCTGTGTGTCCTCCCTTGACTTCTGTCTTCCTTTTCAAACCACGGAGTCGCCTCCTCAACAAAGGTTATCTACCCCAGGTTTGTGTTGACAGCATACCTGTGTGCTCACAGCTACTTCCTCACGTTTCTCTCTCCCAGTGCGCTGTGAGCTCCTCAGAGGGGGACTGGTTTCATCTGCTGACCTGCGGGCCCTCAAACACAAGTTCTCAGTAGCCTCTGACTTTCAGAATCTCCTCATTTGGCCTTTCTAACACATCTCTGCCTGAGCAATCTTATAACACCAGAGGCCCAGCCTGCAGGGATCGGGCAAAACAGGCCTGGTGCACGGATTCATCCAGGGCATGTCTGGCCCATCTCGCCCAGTCCCCATCAGCCGGATCCCAGCAGCAAACTATTATAACCTACTGCTTGGAGCCTCTGTCCCCTGGTGGTCAGTGCGTGTCATAGTAACTGGTCAAATGGGCAGACAGATAACTTCGCATGTTAGGCTAAAAATTATATAGATTTTTATTTTATCTGAGTTTATAATTCACAATAGCTCTCTGTTGCCTAGTGACTCAAGCACAGGCTGAGCCTTGCCCATTGAGCAATCTGCAGTCTGGCTCTGGACCGCTGGCTGCCTGCTCCCAGAGCTGCTCCCTGCAGTGGCTGAAGTCCACCTCCCTCCTTCCTGGTCCTGGCTTCCCTCGCCATTTCCCTTGGGGAAGCTTCTAGTCTCTGAGGGACCACTCTGAGTGTCATAAGAACTGGAGGAATGTATTTGCTGCCTCATCCAGAGGTTTTTTAAACTGGAGGAGAAAAGTAAACAGGACGCAAGAAACAAGAGAGTGGTAGGTAAGGCACACCCTCCGTGGCAGCATTTGGGCTGGGTTATAACTTGCAAGGCTCTTCCCCTTCAGACTGAGCTTCATTTCATTTTTATTTGATCAACGATTAAACTAGAACTTGACATATAAGAGGAACTCAATAAATAGTAAATTTGTATTGAGGTGTTTAGTAATTCCTGGGGGGAGGTACAAAGGAAGAAATTGAGAGTACTACTCACAAATGGTAGCAAGTTCTATAAAGAGTGAAGGCTCCAAGTGAGAGTTCTGAGGTTGTTTTGACTTAGCACTGCTTAATAATGGCCACTGCAAGTTACTTTAAAAAAACAACAACAACACACAAAAACAGCCGAAACCGGTTTGGCTCAGTGGATAGAGCGTCGGCCTGCAGACTGAAAGGTCCCAGGTTCGATTCAGGTCAAGGGCATGTACCTTGGTTGCAGGCACATCCCTGGTAGGGGGTGTGCAGGAGGCAGCTGATCGATGATTCCCTCTCATGGATGTTTCTAACTCTCTATCCCTCTCTCTTCCCCTATGTAAAAAATCAATAAAATATATTAAAAAACAACAACAAAAACAAAACCCCAAACACAACCTATTTCAACTATTGGTTCCAATAAGAAAATAATTCTGGAATATAGGGCTCTCATTTTTTTTAAAAAAATATTTTTACTAGAGGCCTGGTGCCTAACATTTGTGCATGGGTAGGGTCCCTATAGGCCTGGTCTGTAATCAGGGCGGATCTGTGGGGCAATGGGTGGGGAGGCACTGGCACCTGCTTTGGCTGGCCTTTGGCCTGTGGGCAGCTCCTGTGTTGAGTGTTTGCCCCCTGGTGGTTAGTGTGCGTCATAGTGACCTATAGCTCCACCATTTGGTCAATTTGCATATTAGGCTTTTACTATATAGTATTATAATATAGGATTGATTTTAGAGGGAGAAAGAGAAACATCAATGATGCGAATCAGTGATTGCCTCGTGCACGCCCCTCACGAGGGATAGAGCCTGCAACCCAGGCATGTAGGGAATCAGGGTGGCCTCCTAGCTCAGAGGTCAGGTGAATGAAGCCAGCGGCTGAGCAGGGAGGGCTCTTTGGACACATCTCATGAGTTCAAGGATATATCTGTGACATTGATAGAATTATCTGTAGGTCAGTTTGTATTACTTGGAGTATTTGGTGTATATATGCTTAAAGTTATCGAGAAAATGTAATTCTGCTTTCCCCATTCCCTCTCTTCTCTTGTCTGTGCAGGTTCTCAAGTGAGTGTTGGGGGGGCGGGGTTAGGGCTGGGGGGGCGCACGGAGGAACAGGGTTGGAGGGTGGTATCCCTGCTCTCCTGGTCCTCAGCCCCCACCTCCCGCATACAGTATGCGGTTTTCATTTGCTAAGGATGCGACCATGGTTTCTGTAGCCCCCAATCATTTCCACACAAACCACCACCAAGAAACAAAGCCAGGCCGGCTCCTAGCTTCCCTCTTGGCCTCCCAGGCATTCCCCTCCCGCGGCGCCAGCAGGCACCCAGCCAGCCAGCCAGAGACCTCACTTCCGGGGCCGCGCAGGCAGGTGCGCACCTGAGGAAGGTGGGGCCGGGTCTCCCTGCGCCAGGCTCCCGGCCAATCGGCGCGTCGGGCTGGGGGCGCCCCGCCTCCGGGGTGCGGTCGCGGGCGGGACTGCACCTGGCGGCGGCGAGTCACTCAGCGGAGCGGCGGCTGCCTCTACCAATCACAAGGCGCAGGGGCGTGGCCCCGGCCAATCGGGCTTTTGGGGGCCGGGCCGCGGCGGGACCCGGGCCAAGCTGGGCGCGCGGCTGGGTCTGTCCCGGGCTTGGCGGCCGGTTTCGCTTCGGGATCCTGATCGTGATGGATTCTAAGGCGAAAGTCGGGAGAAAAGAGTTGCTTCTCTTCGCGTCCGTGCTCCTGTGTAAGTTCCCGAATTCCGGAAAGGGCCGGTGGGCTGGGTCCCAGGTGGGAGCGCGCCGCCCCCACGGCCCTGCCCGCGGCCGGACGGGCCCGAACCTGCCGGCCTCACCCTCCGAGGCCTTGTCCCCGCCCGGCGCGCCCCGCCCTCCGCCCTCCGCCCTCCGTGCCGCGCGGTCGGCTCCGCTCCCGGACACTCGCCGGTGGGGAGGCTGGGGGGGTCGGGTCCCCTCCCTGTCCTGACCCAGGTGAGGGTCCTGCCTCCACGTGCCCCGGGAAGAGCCCCGCAACCCGACCCGCAGCCGCGAGCCCCGCTCCCTAAGGGACCCCAGGACTCCTGGGCGGCGGCCGGAGGGCCCCTGGCCCCGGGCTCGGCCGGCGGCGTGCGGGGCCGAAGAGGAAGTGGAACAAACCTGGGTTTTCTCCCGAAACCGCTTCCCCAGTTGCTCCGGGAGAACTTGGGCCGGAGACCGCACGGCGGCGGGCGCTCCGGGCCCCGCGCTTCTCCCGCTGGTCCCGCCGCCGCACCTCGGCCCGAGCGATCGCGGGCCGTGCGGCCGGGGAGCCCGCTGGCCGGGAGCCCGGGGAGCCCGCTGGCCGGGGAGCCCGGGGAGCCGCTGGCCGGGGAGCCCGCTGGCCGGGGAGCCCGGGAGCCCGCTGGCGGGGAAGCCCGGGGAGCCGCTGGCCGGGTAGCCTGCTGGCCGGGGAGCCTGCTGGCCGGGGAGCCCGGGAGCCCGCTGGCGGGGGAGCCCGCTGGCCGGGGAGCCCGGGGAGCCGCTGGCCGGGAAGCCCGGGGAGCCCGCTGGCTGGGGAGCCCGCTGGCCGGGGAGCCCGGGGAGCCCGCTGGCCGGGGAGCCCGGGGAGCCGCTGGCCGGGGAGCCCGGGAGCCCGGGAGCCCGCTGGCCGGGGAGCCCGCTGGCCGGGAAGGCCGGGGAGCCCGCTGGCCGGGGAGCCCGGGGAGCCGCTGGCCGGGGAGCCCGCTGGCCCGGGAGCCCGGGGAGCCGCTGGCGGGGGAGCCCGGAGAGCCCGCTGGCCGGGGAGCCCGGGGAGCGGCGGGCCGGGGAGCCCGCTGGCCGGGGAGCCCGGGAGCTTGCTGGCCGGGGAGCCGGGGAGCCCGCTGGCCGGGGAGCCCGGGGAGCCGCTGGCCGGGGAGCCCGGGGAGCCGCTGGCGGGGGAGCCCGGAGAGCCCGCTGGCCGGGGAGTCCGGGGAGCCCGCTGGCCGGGGAGCCGGGGAGCCCGGGAGCCTGCTGGCCGGGGAGTCCGGGGAGCCCGCTGGCCGGGGAGCCCGCTGGGTGCAGGTCCGATCGCTGCTCGCCGAGATCTCTCCGCCCGCTGCCCTCCCGGAAGGCAGGGCATTGCCCCGCGCGGCCGGGCCTCCCCGGCGGTGGGACCCCGGGTTCGGGAGGAGGAACCGCTGCTCTGCGAAGAGCTCCCGGAAGGGGGCGTCCTTGCTGGAGGGAAGGGGAGGGCGCTCCTCTGCAGGGAGTAGAGGACCGGCCCGGCTGGTGCTGCCCTCTGCCCGGCGGGAGAGCGGGAGGTGCGGGCCGTCTGGGTGGTCGTGGCTCCCGCTCCGGGTCCGGGTTGTGCCTCCCCCCGCGGGCGCCCCGTCGCTCCGGGCTCCCGGTGGCCAGAGCGGCTGGTCCCCGCTGCTTCGCGTGGACGGTCACCGCCTCAGGGCGCCAAGTTTGGGGTACATATGTACACACACATTGTCACACATTACACGTGTGCACACATTTTGTCACACAGGTACATGTGTGCATACACATTTTGCCACAGAGATACATGCGTGTACACATGTGTGTTCGCTTCTCCCTTTCTCACACAAAGAGGCACACCGCAGACACCCATCGCACCCTTCCTCCCGCTCCTCTCTGAAGGGGCAGGACTTCTCCCATGGGTGTCACCGGGGAGAGGACCCCCGGGGGCACCTGCTCTGTGGACACAGCAGTGGCCGCCACCCGCGCCTCAGGTTTGAAGGTGGGGCTGGGCGGTGGTGCTGACAGGGCTTGTGTTCCCTCCGGTCTGGTCCTCAAGCTCACTGCTTCCTGCTCCGGGTGCCCGGGGCCTCCACGTTCTCTGGGGAGACCGACCGCCCGGCTGAGGGGCCTGCGGGAGGCAGTGAGCAGATACGCCCTGGCCTCTGGCACTGACAGCCGCCCCCCGCCGCCCTGGCCGCTGATAAGGAGCAGGGCTGTCCGGCCCTGGGGAGGACTCGGAAGCAGGGGCTGGGCTGGCAGGAAGCTGGGTCCCTGCCCCCAGCACCGGCTGCCTGGCCGGCCTTCCTGGGCGGGGCTGGCAAGCTAGCAGAACTGGAATCCTGCTGGGAATGGGCAGGAGAGGCAGGAGGGAACTCCTTGTAGCCTGTGCTGCCTATTGTTGGACTCCCAAAGCTTTCCTCTGGCCACCTCTCTTTGTGCCCCTCCACCTCCAGGAATGAGGAGTGGGGACCTGGCCAGCCTGGGCGCGGAGCCTGTTTTTGAGTTCTAGTTGTAAAGCAATGTCAAATTCATTTGTTAATTCAGTAAATATCAGTGTTTACAATGTCTGAGCAGGTGCCAGAGATCAGGGATAAACAGTAACACTTGCTATGAAGTAGCTCTGCGGGGCCCTCACCTGTGTGGCTCCGTGGATAGAGCATCGGCTTGCGGACTGAAAGGCCCAGGTTCAGTTCTGGTCAAGGGCATGTACCTTGGTTGCGGGCACATCCCCAGTAGGAGGTGTGTGTTGTGGGGTCGAACCCTGGGTTCAAAATAAGACCACAGGAGGCTGAAGATTGATTTAAAAAAGCAGGCAAGGATTTATTGAAAAACTGGCCAGGACGGCCGCGGGAGCACCACATGCAGGTGGGCTCCACACACCAGCACTGATCCAGGTGCAGGCAATCCCTTTTAAAGCTTCAAACCACAGGAATTTCCCTTTGTTCTAAATTCTAAAGGCTGGCCAAAGCCTGTTTGGCTCAGTGGTAGAGCGTCGGTCTGCGGACTGAAAGGTCCCGGGTTCGATTCCAGTCAAGGGCATGTACATTGGTTGCAGGCATATCCCTGGTGGGGGGTGTGCAGGAGGCAGCTGGTTGATGTTTCTCTCTCATCGACATTTCTAGCTCTCTATCTCTCTCCCTTCCTCTCTGTAAAAAATCAATAAAAATATATTTTTTTAAATTCTAAAGGCTGGGAACATTGGAATGTGGCCCTATCTTGCCCATAATACAAAAGCAGAACTCAGAGGTTAATCTCTAAAGGTTATCTATAGTTTCTACCCCTGAAGCTACTGAGTCAGTGGGAGTCTATCTCCTGTAACTACCCTATTGTTTAAGCAAGTAATCGAAGATCCGAAGTCAGATAGCAAGGTTAAAATTCAAACAGCAGTTTTTACCCAAGTATGATTGCTACCATATTTCAGTGTGCAGGAGGCAGCTGATAGATATTTCTAACTCTTCTATCCCTCTCCCTTCCTCTCTGTAAAAAGTCAATAAAATATATTAAAAAAAAAAAGCTGAGGGAGCAGAGAAACTGGGCACCATGAGCCCACCCAGAGGCACTAAACCACGTGCTGCGAGCTCCGGCCCAGGGTCTTGGGAGGCTCCTGCTAGAGGGGACGTTTGGATGAATTTGTAGCGATAACCAGAGGCTGGCTGGCTCGTTTCCATCCCTCCCCTTCCTTCCTTTAAAAAAAAAAAGGAATTAAAAAAAATCACAAGAAAGCTACTTAAGGAAATTTATAATAACAGGGTATGTAGAGAAGACAAGGATTTCTTAATAAAGCAGTAGCAAGGAATGGGTGTTGGGTTGTTAGGTGCCCGGAGGCCTCCACCCTCTGGGACATCCTTCTGGTCCCAGCATCTTCCTCTGGCCCCGGGAGTGAGGAGCTGGCGGTGGAGCAGCCCTTGGTGGCTCTGCTCCCAAGGAGCGGAGACACCTCAACCAAGCAAAACAGAGCAGAGGGCGCCAGGAGCTGTCCAAGTACAACCTGTTTGGGAGCACAGAATGGAAGAGATTTACTTTTTTTAAGCCTTATTTTTATGATACATGCTCTAGGGAGAAAAATGAGAAAACACGGAGGAATACAAAGAACATCACATTAATCCTATTATCTGGAGAGAAACTTAATGCTGCCATTCCATTTCAATCTTTCCTCATATAATACTGGCACTCATTCTAAAATATGCTTTAAGCAAATTCCACTGTATGACTAGAACAGAATTTACTTGTTCACCCTTGTTGGCATTTAGTTTTCTTGGGTTAAGTTTCCTACCTTGCTGCTTGTAGTTGTGTGATTTGGGGCAAATATGCTCAGCCTTAGTGTTCTCATCTGTAAAGTGGAGGGTAACAATAGTACTTGTTTGTCTCAAGGTTTCTCTGAGAATTTAATGAGACAGTGCATACCAGACACAAATCTAAATGTGGGGTTTGGGTCCTCTCTGCCATCACTCCACTGGCACAGACAGTCACAAGACCTGCCCAGATGCCAAAACCGGTTTGGCTCAGTGAATAGAGCGTCTGCCTGCGGACTGAAAGGTCCTGGGCTTGATTCCAGTCAGGGGCATGTACCTTGGTTGCGGGCACATCCCCAGTAGGGGGTGTGCAAGAGGCAGCTGAACGATGTTTCTATCTTTCTATCCTTCTCTCTTCCTCTCTGTAAAGACACAATAAAATATATATTAAAAAAAAAAAAAAAAAAAAAGACCTGCCCAGACCTTAGGCTCTACTGCAGCCACAATGTAAGACAAGCACACGGATAAGTGTATACATAGAGCCTGTTTGGAAAATACAGTTTGCTAGCTTTCGTATTATTTGAATACAAAGTGATTTTCAGGCATTATATCTGCAGTCTTACAGCTTGGCACACCTGAATGTCTGGGAACATGCTTGATTGATTTGGGTGTGAATGCCAGCATCACCCCCTCCCCTTCTCGGTTCCTAAATCACTCTTCTCTCACCTCCTACCCATGTGCTGTCCACCTGCCCACTTTCCTGTTCTCACCAGAGTCCAGGTGACCTGTGC